AAGATAGGTTTCGAAAAAAGAACTACAGTGACTTTATGGAGTAACCATAGGTGTACCTAACACGTGGGAACCAGCGGTGACAACAAATAGTTGGTTCTCGCTGTTCCGGTCGAGAAGTCATCGTAATAGTGTCGTTTCATCTTTGTAATGACTTTTGTCAATACTAGATAATTAACTCACCTGTACCATAACACATCGTGCAAATGCGTAACGATAATATCGGGCCACACGACGTTTTGCTAAGCGCTTATACATTGTGTAGGCTGTATCATCATGTATATAAGAAAAAAATCAACACTCTCATATGGATAAAAAGAAAGAATTACCATGGCAATAATTAGTGAAACCTTGTTTCCTGACAATGCAAAACGATGCTACATGGGGGTAACTAAATTTAGAATTCAAACTATGTATTTATAACATCAGCCAGTCTCTAACGGCAAGAAGTGCGCTACGCCATATGGGGTATAAGGCAGTCAATAAAAGAAGGTATGTATCAGACGATGGACCGAATCAAGGCCGGAGGCTGGTTGAAAAAGGAACACCAGGAGTAAAGGCTAGCATGCCCATCTTATACGAGATTCAGCCGTTTATTCTATTGACTTTTTTGATTCGAATTCTTATACCAGGTTGAGTATTTAAAAAAATTCACGAACTGATTGGCCAGGAATGAGTCCGTACTTGCATCTCTGTATTGGGTATTCTATAAAATCCAATAGCAGAAATGGCTCAAGCCCATATTGACTGTGCAATGAACAGACGCCAACAGGCACCAGCACGTTGAGAAACAGCACGTTTTGATAATGACTGACCGCGCAGAATTTTTAATCCATGAACTTGTAAATAGATCTCATTTTCATACTATTTATTCGTACAAGTAAATATAGCCATACAAAGACTGAAGGGCAACATTTGGGACTTGATTTTCCTATAAGTATCGCAGCGCCGGTACGTCAGTCCTAGTAGAACTAACTTATTCGGAACAATGCCGTTATGTTCCAGCCGTGTATAAAAATCATACGGGCATAATTTTATTTTGACTTGATCCTAGTGTTTATTAAGATTACGACGAGGTAACTATAAGGGCCAACTGTGAGAACGCTGTAAGCTATATGTCCTTTTAAATACAGTTGCAGTAGCACATATCTCTGCTGAAAGCCTCTTCTTTTTTAGTAAAAAACATTCGTTTACGGTATATATATATATATATCCCCTTAAATACGGTCTAATATTCGTGCAGTTCTGCGCATTAGTGCCGCTTACCTTGAGAAGACTTACCTGAGCATCATCTTCCAACGCCTAATCCAATGCGTCCTTTTCTCTGCTCAAAGCTCACGTCATACCCGCTTAGTCTCCTCACGTTTCCCCATCTTTTTGCCCCCTGATTAAGTAAATACCCACATATAAAGGCAGCTACGAAAAAGCTCTATTCCAAGCGTACTACCGCTGTACTTCTTCTCAGACAGAGTCTCCTGCTGATGCCATTGCTGCTGCCGGTGGGTGCGGGTATGTTATCGCAAGCGCTTCTGTTTGCGATCTTACCACACCAACGTCAACGGCATCGAGCAAGGGCAATGGACATGCGGCGACGGGGCACAGGTAGTCGTGTATGATCCCAACGAACGATGTGGTATGCCTGGCCAAAAAGGGGCGGATGGAACATCGTGCACCTTTTTGCGAGCCGCCACTAGCTCCAGCTATGGTTTGTCTAACGTCAGCAAATTGGCCCGTCGTCTAGCCATGCAGTCGGCCACAAGCTTCCAGTTCGAATGCTACTGTAAGCAACACTTGAGAGAAAAAGAAGACGAGCACCATATAAATGGCCGTTCCTACCTAGTAATGGTAGTGTATGGGCGTGTACAGGCATGTGTCTATGTGACGAGGTTCAATTTGTCGCCGCAGATTTTGCTAACGGCAGAGAACCGAAGGCCTGGTCATGCGGCACCTTCGGTCTACGTACACTTGTGCAGCGATGTTACTAAATCACGTGGCTCATTAAACGATGCTAGTAAGGGGAGCGGGTGCTAGTGATGCGTAAAACTAACGGCGTCGTAGCGACAGGTGTCTGAGGAAACTGTATTGGTCTAATGGCAACTGAAAACAGCGGACGGCCGATCGACCAAGTGCCTGTTGGCAAGGGAAGGAAGATCGCAGTAGCGATTAGCGAAGCGTGCCACACACTGTATGGGTTATTAAAAGAAGAAAAAGAGGGAGCGTCGAAAACAGCCTCTCAACAGGTTCGACACTCAACAGCGTCTCTTCAAACGTACCCGAGATCCAAGTTAATAGCGTCGAAAGTCGTCCCGAATTAGCTTTGGGCATCAATATAAGGCACCGGTTTTCCAGCTAAACGCGATATTGTCATAAATTAAAACTGAGAAAGCAGACGATCATAGTCGTTCCCTTTGGCAACTAAAATATTGCAGGAGATCATGTCAAGGAAAGATACTCCAGCAGGCAAAAGACCGATTGTGGTTTATCAACATCTTCGATTCAAAACCAGATTGAGTATATACGTTTTGCTTGTATATATGCGTACGGTGTTGTATAAGAACATATATTTCATATCCTACTACCTTCCTATTGGTTTGTATGCATATGCATTCAGCTTGTTCGCCTGCGAGTATATTCGAGGCTGGCATGCTGTCGACGTTAGAACGCTCTCTTCGCTCATAAGTGCTTGACTGTCTTCTCACCTACCGTTCGCTCAGCTATGCTGAAACAATAACAGCTAGTATTACCAGCGATTAATCATGGTAAAGTACTTGATCCGGGCATGTAACCATTTTAAATGACACGTATTATACTATCAAAGCTATCTATATGTTGCGACCGGTGGCAAGTGGAGCAATGTTGGGGATTCGGCACTCAAGGCCAACAGGCAAAAGGCGGGTTCTTTACTGCAGGGTCCCAAAATGCTCCTAACTCCGGCAATGCGAACGCCCGTCTACTATTTTCGCCTGATCCAGTCGCGTTCAAAAGGCGCTGGCAGTTTGATGACGGTGCACGTCGCTAGTCTACTATCAGCTTTGACCGGTGTTTTTGGCTGGATTAAGTCACTAGATGCCACAGATGGTTAGCTTTGCTTTTTGGCCTGAGAACTTTTTTGCTTTGATTAGCTCGCCGGCTATCTTCACCGCGTTCTGAAGGCGAGCGAAGCCTGCTTTTCTACGCTTCTTGCGTAGCCATTGACAACGCCCTGGACTTCATTCGGCCCATGTATCTAGTTCTTAAAAGAAACTGAAAATTGTTTTCAGTCGATCTTGCTATTTTTTCTTTTCTTTCGAGCTGCTGAAAACTCGATCGCGTCCTTTTCAGCTTTAGCACCACAAAACTTAAATCATTTGGTACCGTGGCATATCCTGAGAGTATCATTGGTCAACAGCTTAACAGAAAAAAGCTTAGTATTACAGTATTATAACACCACTGCAAGCAGGCCGTAGTTGACATAGTGCATGTTAGGTAACATTGACGCGTCCGCAACCGGCGTTAATATCGACCAACATCTTCGCTTTGGTTGGATAGTAAGACAACCAGGGCCTGCTGGAAATACTGTGGCGTTTCGAAGGTGGGCAACAAACGATTCTGCTCGTTAGCGTTGGCCAGTGGTTGAACGCGCTATGCTGTCTTGTTACCTGCAGCATAAATAGCGTTTCACTGATTGCCCCTATATTTAGACCGAGGAAGGTCATACGGTTTCTGGACGCCGTCCTCTATGGCGTTGCCCTTTATGCCTCGCCCTCTGACGTCCTCCAGCGTCTACTCCTCTTTTTTGTTTAGTATCCTCTCGCCGATAAACTCTTATCCACTGCAGCCACGTGCTCTCCAGCTAAAGTTGGCCATTTGCCGTACGCCTGCTCGATTCTCCTGGAAGTCCCAAGAGAACCGTTTGCCGACCAACCGGTAGACATCAATACGTGGCTAAAAACACAGTCCAGGTAGTGGGCAATGGCAATGCCCCCAGAACTATCGTAACGACCAACATGTCGGTAATGGCTATCTTGGACGCACAGCATCAATGGACGATTATATGTTATGTTAGAAAGCCGATTAGTTAAACAGCCATTGAAATGCACCTCTATGCAGTGAAAGAGTGCATACTCTTTGTAATTTAAACAGGAACAAGGGATTACGACATTTATAGGTGAAACTGCAATCGATTGTGGCGCTAAAAAGATAAGAAGTCTCATAAAAACCACTATTTTGGGGGTACTCATTCTTGAACTTAATAAGACATCAAATAGCAACAGATGGTGATTTATATATATGCATTATTAATATTCATGGTTTATTTTTAAGCAAAACGAGTCACGCGCCTATAGCAATAACGGTCACTATTATCTCGATGCATATAAAAACACGCCTATATATAGGTAACGTTTTTTGTACAATGGCCTTTAGAAATACAGTGGTGCTAAAGGTTGTCGTGTCGGTAGATGGAGTCATCACAGCGTCGCCTAAACACGAAAAGAAGAAGCGTGTGTATCCGCCGTTAGCTTTTTTTAAACGTTGCGAAATTTTTTTTCTAAATATGGTAGTAGTGTATTGTAGCTGTTGTTAGATACTAACCATGGTACAGCGGTCTCATCTACTGAACTCTGCGACACGTGGTAACCCGGGCATAGGCACAGGCCATTTCGCGGTAGGGGCAGTGTTCAACGTCGATACCTTCAATTCTAGCTAATTAGGATAGACCTCTTTCTAGTAGTTTTGCTGCTCCTACGGTATATGATATGATATGTACCTAATCATAAACTGTGCCAAATATACTAAACGTAACGTGACGTAACGTAAATCAATGTAGTTCCACTAGGCAAAGATTTATATATTAATCGAGGGAAATGTTCGAGTACCCTAATACACTGCACGCAAATACAGGCGAGCAATGTGAAGCGCAATTGTCCTTAACAGATTTCGCCCTATTCCGTCGACCTTTTTGCCTGGCGCCAAATTGCCGTTTGATGATTCAACCTATTTTTACCGGATGCTGTTGGCTAATGATGAAACACATGGTTCGAGCGTGCATCGATGCTAGTCATTCTCCTTAATTGCGTCACCCTAGGGATGTATCAGCCGTGCGCTGACGAACTCTGCGTTAACACCCGTTGCCAGATTTTGCAGGTGAGTTGAACGGTGAATTATTGTCTAGACCAATTCAACTTAGTTCTTCATTTTTAGGTTCCTAAGTTATAGCTTACAGTTAAAAACATCAAATCAGTGAAACTATCGTACAATCAGTAATTTTAGTTACCTAAATAAACGCATGCATGGTACGTATTGCATGAATGGTTTGCTTCATGTCCGCGACCGTGTAGAAAGGACAAGCAGTGAATGATCGTGACAGCTTTGACTCGAATCGCTTTAATGTTCGAAGCTCTTCCTAGTAAGATACTCCCAAAAGGCCTGCTTATATTTATATATGTGTAGCTTGAGGTCGAACTAGCTGTGGGTGGCTCGAAGGAGCAAACCATAAAGCGATTTTATCGCTCATGTGGCCAACACTACCCTCGTGCATATTTCGGTCACGTGAAGAGTAAAACTTCCACGGTCCACAGGAAAAAGCAACCATAAGTGTGGAAGCCGGTTTACATGGGTAAGAGGTGACCTGGCCAGGTGTCAGTGACCGTTGTCCTGCCTCCCTTCTAAATTTCATCATTTTTCAGATTCAAAATCAGTCTCAAATCTGTGAATGCTACGTAGAGTGGGGCTAGAGCCTGCTGCACCTGAAACCGGTTCGATTTGCATATCACTAAATCGTCTGCATGCAAAATGACTTCGACGGATTTCTTCAGCCCTATAATTTGATCAGGAAGGCCCTCCAGCAAGATAAAAAAATCAGGGTGGGCCCTAAGCCAGGCCAATCATCTATGTGAAATGCGGCATTCGTTGCGAAGAAATTTAGCATATTCATATAGACCTATCTCGGCCAGTGTGAGCACCGGGGCAGCGAGTCTAAGAACTAACTATTGGGTTATTCTAGGATCTTTTAAGCCTATTAAAGCAGCTTATTTTTGTAAACTGTAGGAATCAAAACCTTATAACGTACAGGTATAACCGGGAGTGGGTTTCCACCGAACGGTAGACTGTACTGTCCATTGACAACTGAGTGCTTCATTTTTAGCATTAAACGAGTTGAAATATTGGAGACAGGTCATCTGTTGCAGTACAAAAATGGTACTTCTACCTAGATGCTGGCCTTAACGAATTTTACCACATAAGCACAGAGCTAGCTGAGCTCCTTGGCCCTCGTTCGACAAACGTCAGAGGATTTACTTGCAGTCTGTGTGGGTATGCTAATTGACTTATCTTAGTTATGAAAGGAGATCAACGAATCCAGTCGCACGCTTTTAATAGGTTTACTGCCAGTAAAAACTGCGAAAATATTTATCGTACACTTCCGTTGGACAAAGGCATTACAGCGTTTTTCCTAAGATTTACTAATTGGTTTACCCCAAGTGCACTGATCTATCAATAGACGCTTTTATCAGTTTAAATATGATTGTCACTCTAGCCTAAAACCAACAACAAGACTTAGTGGCATCTCAAGGATGGCTACGCCTGATAATTCGGTAGCATCTTATTATATTCTGTGTTAAGTTTAAATGATACCTAGCATGTTTGTTGATTTTATTCGTTCGATAGTTATGGTCTGAAACTACTCCAGCCACAATGAAATGGAGTTTAGAATAAGTTTGATCGTACTGGCCGATGCGTACTTGCTGACCGTAATGAACTTAACTGTACCTTCTTTGCCTAGTCCTATTTTCGCAAAAAACAGGTGTCTCCTAATTTGATAAACCTTCATTTAGTCCTGCCGTCGTCAGCCTTCCGTTGTTGGTGTAGACCACTACTGAGGAATCCGACCAGTGGATACATCTTGTTTCGGGAGTGTCGGAAGCCAATAGGACTATGGCAATGTTTAGCGCAGTTCCAGGCGCAAAACTCGCGAACACCTCTATCGGTAACAGTCTTTCGAAGCCGTTGATCCACTGGGACCAACTTTATCCAACCTAGCTGTTAAGGAGGCAGTTACGCAACAAAACCATTCATTGAATCTCGCAGTGAGAGATGCTACAGTACTAGATAATGCCATATAATGAGACGTATGATCATCCGATCGTAAAATACATATTCATTTTCAAAGGATAAAATTTGTCCTGTATCTAAGCTCACACATATGGTTAGTGCTGGATAAATCAGCTCTTCAACGATGGTCTGGCTAAACGTCGCGTACAACTGCAAAGGACGACCTGGTCCCTAGCTAAGCCCGCTGTGTTTACGCTATCCAGTAGAACACAGGTAGTCAACGCCAATGTCAATGTATCAGCTTGCTCATATGAACGACTATGTTGTAGGGAGTTCGCTGGCTCTCGTTGGCTTTGATGAAGAAAAAGTCTTCGTCTCAAGATGAAGAAAAAAGAAGCGTATTTAAAATGCATGGCTTTCCTCATACGAGTACATATATCCCAATTGATGCATGCGGCAAATTTGAATGATCACTGCGTCGTAGAGTATACCCGCCCACTACCACTGGAACAAATAAGATCAGTGCGGCTTTCTCTGTTCTTTTAAGGCACAACCTTTAAGCGATTACGGATGACTGGTGAAGAACTATGCTGTGCCCGATTCTAGACTGTCCTATACGTAGGGCACCCAAACAAATCCCGGCGTTGAGTAGTAAATGGAAAACAATTAATAATGGTTAATTTGTTAAACAACATTATCAAGACAAACGCAGTTTTCACTAGTCTACTTTTTATGGCATGACATCCGATTTGTTAATTCACCCAAACAATATCTTCACTATTGAGAAGATAATTCTACCGTCTACTACCGCGAAATGGCGAGAGCACTGCTGGCGAACCTCTTCCGCTGCACATGGATATAGCTTTTTAAAGTGTTATGTAATACTCGAAAAGTATGCCCGAAAATCTGTGCTAATCTTGAGCCGTTTTTGAACTTAGCAGCGTAATATCTGACCTAAAGGGAAGAACCTGTCAAAGGTAGAATTGTCAAAAGTTCTAGCCCGTATAGGAAATGATTAGGTTTAAAAAATGGTACTGTTTTGTATGTAGCCTCCTGTCTAATTCGCTTTTAATTACTTAATACTGTTTACGGATACGTTTTTGTAGCAAATGAACTTTTCTTAATTTGGATAGCCAGTACCAATCGAATATGGATTATCGAAGCGGGTGCGATTGGTAGCCAAAAAAGCACTGCCCAAAAAACAGGTCACATTGGCGTAAGGATGGGCACAACGCGCAAAGTCGTGCGGCAATAAAATGACAAACCGCTATGGCCGTAAATTAGGACATATTTAAGATACTATTTTGGCAAATTTTCGACGGATACAAATTCAGATAATATTTGAATCAAACATTGGTATTCCATACCTACGTATGCCATGAGTCCTAGGGGATTATTAAGGAGCGCGGAAGATTTGTTTACCTCGATCTCACTATAGTACTCTATCATTAGCCGATGAGGTACGCTAAGGTGCCGCACATCAATATTTTTTTTGTTTAAATACGCCGTCCTTTGCTATCGTCACACTTATCCATATACCTTGCTTAGACGTTTGCTGTAACTACCGTAGCAAGTCATCATATGTCCGGGCTACACAGTTTCTAATCTAATTTTCGAGATCGATCTGTCGATTCCCATTCTTATGAATGTCTCCTTCCCTTCTTGTCCGTTTCAGAAGTTTTTATGCATTTAATACAAATGGACACGATTCTGATGAAAACCATTTTAAGAGCTTTTATGTCATGTTTGAATCTGAATGTCCGCCATATTACATTTTCCAACATTAAGCAGACGAATGAATGTATGAACAACCCTTCTCCCGTGAACGAACAAACGCCGGCCGGGACGGTAAAGCCATACGTAGATGGTAATTAGAAATGATGTTACTTGAATTTTATCAATGGGGACCACCCACGTTGTCGGCACCACTGATCTGCGTTCTCATAAGCCTGCCGCGGTTTATTTTCCTCATAAAGTGAAGCTGCCACTACAACTCTGCACTACTGGATGCTGGGTTATGAACATCCTTCGTTGTTTAGGTGATTACGATTTGACAGCTCAACGTTACACACGACGCATACGGGGTAGCGGCAGGATAGGGCGTGGCATGCGAGATCTGTCGTATCGTTTGGTTTGAGTTCCGTAGTCCGGCACATCACCGGTCTCAGCTTGCCAGATATGATACGATCCTTCCCACTCGTAAAGTTATCGTGACGCGAATTCGTTGAGGAAGCCCGAGTTCAGACTGAGCAATTTCTATCCCTAAACCGGCCTTCCCCATCCCTCGATTCACTCTAGCCCAGTTCTGTTGTGACCAGCTAAATAGGCCTTCATACCGTCAGTGGGCCTCTGGCTGACTTTACAAGAGGTGTGTTTGTCACATTGTCTGGGTTGTAAGTCCTATTTGTCGTCATTATGACCGCTATTGGTCGCCAGGGAATTAGTTCGGGCCCGAAAGGACTGCAGAAGGTTATTCCCGCTCGCGAGATTTCCCGCTACTGATTTAACTGCTCGAAAGTATAGACCAATGGAAAAAAGGAACCATTAACTCGCTCTTTATTTTTATCCGTTCTATTTTGGCAGTGGAAAAAATAAAGATCTCTTAAATAGGCAGGTGAGCAGGTGACACGGCGGAATTTGCTTTCATTATTACCATATGATGATATTGCTTCTAGTGATCAATGCTTCTTAGTATTATTTTTTTTAGCACACTGATATCTATTTTGCAATAGTTAGTTCATTTAGAACACGTGTACACGTGGGATGCCAATGCACACTGCAAAGCATGGTTGCCAGAGATCGTTTTACGAGTGATTCCCCCCTTTTAGAGTTCCTCTGTCGTGGATATTCGATTTGAATGAACAGAAGTGAATGATTATGACGCGTCCATTGATATGAGAGGTGTTGGTAACACGTTGAAGGCCTTAGTAATTTCGAGGCAAGTATATCAACAAATTACAGAATAGTTAACATATTGCGGGAAAACGGAGCTGTTGATTGTTTTTATCGGTATTTTGCTTGTAACATATATGTCAGTTTTAAGAAGTCTGGCTGATTAGACTCCCCCCAGTTTCAGGTTGTTTTTTCATCTTCTTATATCTGTTGTTATTTATATTAATAAATGTTCCTCTGCGGACAGCTGTGCAATCGATTCTTCGTGAAATTTCGTTTCAACACGAACTTAGAGATGGAAGTAAATTCATAATATCATGCTCTATTCTCGCTGTGCTATTTTCTGTTTACAGTTGTTTGACCATTTAATTTTCGCATTCTTCGCCATCGAAATGGTGGTCCGAATCCTGGCAATGGGCTTTATCGGAGGACGTAATTCATACCTCTCCGAAACTTGGAACCGGCTCGATTTCTTCATCGTCGTTGCTGGGTGAGCTCAGTAGGTTAAGTTAAAAATAACATCACATCTGTATAATCAATAGAAAAGATTGCCTGATTCTTGGCGACTTAATAATCGATCTACTTGTCTCCATATGATGTCTGTTTAGATGTATTTTCGTTTTCAACGCAATCCGGATAAAGGAATAATGTTTCCTTGACTAGTCGTCACCGTAACGGTCTCAAAGCTTTATATAGACGCACGAGCACATTGAAGCTCCTTAGGTGAAAGCTAATATACGTATATACGATATTTTCCAATGTTTTAAGTTACTAAGTTGTTTAACGCGGGATACCTTCTTGTCATCAATACTACTTCATATTTACAACGTCCTCTATTTGCATATATATTTATGTAGATATCACACAAACATAAGATCGACAGCAGCAGGAAGATTCTCGTTACTACGCATGTGGGATAAACCCAGGGGCAACTGTTGGATTGACACGCACTTAATCAATGCTTGACAGTTAGCGTCTGCCGGTAGCTTTCAAAGCTAACAAAAGTAAAGGAAAAATACCCATTTCCATTGGATACCACCAGGCAGCAGTATGCTGGATTACCTTGCTCTTGGACATCTGCGGGTACTGTTTTGTCATCTAAGACTGACTGGCTGAGAGTCTTTCTCTTTCATCGGTGCTAGAATTTCCGGACTTGCAATAATACTAAAAAAGAATACTGGCCTTGTAATATATATCGAATAGATTGCCTCGCATTAGCGAATTCTATCGTTTCTACTTATACTATTATAAATATGCTTTGTGGAGGGTTCTAATACTTGCTGAGGTGGCCAGAGTCTCGATAAAAGTTAGCTGCTTTATTAGCTGTTAACGTTAAGACTGTTACATTCCATTCGGGTGTTGGGTGATGCCCTAAACGTTTCCGACTACTACGAAATTTTTTCTCTAAAAAATGAATTTTATAAGGTCACCCTTCAAAGTGCGCAAATGTTAAAAGTACTGCATACTTTTGGTCAGCTTCGTAGTGTCGCAGACGCACTGTAGGAAATTGAAATAAAATTGTGACATCCCTGCTGTATATCAAATGAGGCAATGATTTTTCTGCTAGAAGTTCGTTTGTCACAAGGCAGCACCTTTATATTTCGTGTCGTTGCTTTTGTCCATCTTATCGATTCATTATATAGCTGTGCATTATATGTACACGTATACATGTATGTATACACGTAGATTTATTCTGGGCCTTCACTTCGTTGCCATCGATATTAACTATATCAAAATTCGATCATTGAATCGTATTTACATGGCTTGGTGAATGTGTGTGCGCGTGTAGCGCCACCTATACTAAAGAAAAAGATACTTTTGTAGGAAGTACGTATTCATATCGTATATAAACAAGTATGAACGATGACCGTCTTTTTGTCGGTGGACAACTGCTGACGACTGATCCCGTTCCGTCACTGTGCCCTACCACGGCATCAACACTTTTGATCGTGAAAAAACGTAACAGTAAATAGGATGAACCTTTCTACCATCTCGCTGTTGTACCGTCTTGTGCCAACGTCCGTTATGGCTAAAGCGGTTAATCGCCAGCTACGGACTCTTGGATGAAAGACGAGAACATTGCCTGCATATCCATCACACAGTTAGCTAATTGGTCACCGCAATTTCTTTTCTATACAATGGATATATATATCAGCAGATAACATTAACCAGCTTATACATACTAAGGCGGTCTTCCCGTCCTTTCGGTCCTGTCGCAGCCAACCCAGGCCATTATCACTAGCCAAAGCTTCTAAATCGTACAATCGTGACTGTGCAGTTTGGCCAACATCTGGCTGCTCTGTTCCGCCACTATATTTGATGCGACGACGTCGCCTAACACAATATCATACGCCCTCGTTTTGTTTGCCTTCGCGTCGGCAGCCTGTAGTATACTAGCTCGATTTCCGTCGCGCCTAATCCCACTTCCCGTCAAACGCCGTATTGCTAATAAGCATTTGGGACATCCAGCCGTAATGGGTAACTATAAATGCACCCGAACGCTTTCGGGCTTTATGGGGTTGCGCAGCTTTAAGGTTGCCTTCTTTTCGTATCTGCGTGCAGTGGTAACATCGCGGTTGGGCCAAGTGAAGCTATAGTGTGCTTTTGGAATTTTAAGAATTTTCGGGTCATTTTCTCTGAAAAGTCTATAGGTTACCGCTTTCAAATAACGCCCGCTCTGTTCATCTGAGTTTAAACTATGGAAGTGCGTCAACGACTATCTCTTTGATTGACTGCAGTATTGGTGCCTGTGATCTCAAGATAGTTTTTTTTTTTAGTAGAAGAGGACGGAATATCTAAATGGGACTTTCGAGCATTGACATTTAAAAGAAATAGATATTTTTGAGTTTTACGTCCGATGCTGCTGTTAGCAATGAAAATATTGGCTTGCAGCATAAAATTAATTATGTATGTAGGCTCAGTTTTGAATCAGGAGCACGTCAAGCGTTCCTAAACCTTGACACCTAACTTCTCTTTGCATAGGCAAATGCTCCGAACCTCAGCCATATTAATGTTAGCAATATTGATAGGGTACAGGCCTATAGCTGGACCGGTTTGCACACATGATCATTGCGCAGCAGGCCAACAAATAGCCGTGCGTTGAGGTATAGATACGTTAAACGTTTAAGTGTCACGCGTTTCAACAGATATCACAATTAGCCTAGCTTGAAGATGAACGAGAGCATAATTAGACTTCAAGATCCGAATACAGTTATGCAGATTTACCAAGATTTTAGTGCAATTATCTGAACGTTAGTAAAAAACAATTATTCTAAGTGACTATAAGACTAAGTGATTTCATATCGGGGATCGGAGCACTGCTCTATACAAAGCGACACCATTATCCGGATAACGATACCCTCTGAACGGTTATTGCTTTCCGACTAATAGTAATAACAGCGAAAACATAACGTAATATTTTCAATAGAGTTTTAGTATAGGTCAATTGCGCACATACACAGTTACTGTAGGAATTTCATATTTGTATTAATTTTCAGTGCGGTCGAGTACTGCCTGGACGTGGGCAATATGAACTTATCAGCGATCCGGACCATACGAGTATTACGTCCATTGCGAGCTATCAATCGGATCCCCAGTGAGTACCCGTCTTTGAAGGGCCAATAACTCAATTACTTTTATTCCTAGTTATGTGTGGTTACCTTCGAACGAACATCCCGGAGAACTCATCTAATTAAAGAACTGTCTAAACGACTTTGAAGCAAGTTCGTCCCGCTCCAAGCCTTTGTCATGCTTAGCAGTAGTCGTACCGTGGCACCTTCTAGGTACTGTAATTTACTCTTACTACAACTTGGCTGCCACTAACACATTTGAAATACAACGGAGCCTTAGACATGTTAGTTACAATTAAGACAAAGCATATGGCTACTTTTTTCCAGTTACCGTCAGCTTGACCACCTGGTATATCCCTTCGCAACAAACCTAATTTCGAATAAAAACACTTCTCCGCTAGAGCGAAACCATATCGCTCCTACTCTGTCTTCAAGAGAAATGTTTATTCTAGTTACCTGTTTCTGCTTCGCTTCGTACCTCCTATCTGTTTATGGTCCTCAAGGAGTCGCTGCTCTGGCTTCCATTCCAATTAGTCCTTCCAAGCATTCATTATACCTAGAAGTTGTGTGACTTCACCTGAAGACACTTAATAACTGTTACTAATTCTTCAATACGTAAGCCTTATGTCATTAGTCCTTTCGCTGCGTCGGAATTCGATACAAAAGCCTATTTTATGGACTTCTTTTGACCTCTTCTAAATACATGGTCTCCGACAGAATATTTGACTCAGGGTTTCTCCCTGTTCTATCGGTTTGATCTTGACTGTCGGCGACTTGTCTTCACGAAGAAGTCTAATAAACTTCTTGGCGCTCGCTTCATTTAAAGAGTATGGAGAGAAGAGAAATTAATTAGAGTGCCTTTTTAACAATTATGTTTCGACTTAGAAGCCTTAATAAAACTGGATTAGTGTCGTTCTTCTGTTGTCACTTGTTTTTCATCGAACACACCTCAGTACCGTAGTCGTCCCCTTGACAGCTACCAAAACGTGAAATATCCAGCATGTTTGTTTGTTGCTCCGGCTGCTTCCATTGGCTTAACTTAGGCCATTTTTCCGTGCCGAAAGACTCCGCTTAAAAGGCACTCTTCCTTTTATCAGTGTCATGGACTGATTATGTACGTGGACTTGTCTTGCACGCCCTACCATGGTTATACGTATTAGAGTACTTATCAAAATGTATTTAAATATTACGACCTAGCTCAGAGCATACTTTCGTTAAGCAACTACGACCCTATTGGTCTCCACTGCTAATAAAGCTATTGCGCTACATTCTCAAGTTTTTTTTTTCTCATATATAACTGTGTCCACACTAATAGTTAAGCACACAGCAGCACACAACACATAACCCGCATCCGCATTTGTTCTAGATGGCCATTTGTCTTCATTGTCGATCTCCTTAAAACAACAATAAAATCAAATCTAGACAGTACGTTAACGTCAAGCACAGCGTGTCACCTTTAAGTGAACACAGAAGCCCGTAGCTAGCGTAACATAGATGGAGTAAAAGCAAAGATAGACAGGACTGGCTAACTTACGTAGTTAGTAAAGCTGGGATTGCTAGACACAAAGGTCAGAAACCCCTTGCTAGAGATAGGAGAAAATGGGATGTTGGCAAGTCGGGAGCAAAGGGTAAAGGGGCTGTGGCGGGCCGTCACTTATGGAGGGCAGCCGCAGACAGGTAGATAGGGATTAACAGAAGGACGAGTATTATTTCGTCCAATTGCTTTTCGATCGGTGGCCAGTGGCTTCTTGCGTCGTCGCTAGTGCCGCCACGTCATGTTTTGTTCGACCCCTGTGCAATCCGCGTCGTCTCGTTTACCAAAATTGTAAGAGTATTGTGTGTCCACATTCATTTTTGAACTTTCACTTTATAGAAAAGCTGAAGGAGCGCACAATAGACGAGGGAGTCCTATGGAGATTCTTCTGGCGTGTTATTTTCTGTTTCAGTCCAGCTAAAGGAAACGGTCAACGACAAGTGATGCGGGACGACAAAGTGATGCTGTGCCGAGAGCTGCAATTGATAAACTTTAAATGGGCTGAGTTTTGCTCTCAATTACCACTACCGGCAGTAGCAACGCAGACCAGATTTTTCCTCTTACTTTCTGACTCACGCGAATACGTAGCTACGAACAAACAATGTAGAATGAACTTGGCAGCTAGTCGCTAACGCTGCTGAAGCCCTCTTTCTATCGACGCCCACAAAAAGGGGGCATTAAAAAAAAGAAAAACCTAACATGTTGTTTCATTCGCTTCGAATAAGAAATGTAGTGAGAAAAGGTATAATTGAGAAAAGTTTAACAGCAGTTTATCAACGAAGCGCCGACGAATTACTGGGCCTTACAAAGAACTTCGAAAACGATTTGATGCGACGTTGTCAAGAGCTCATAGTTGAAGCTTCTTTTACCAATAAGAATAACAAACTTGATGTTATTGTCTATTCCACCAGAGGGAGTAAAATTACCTAGAGCTTCATCCACTTAAGTAATTTTTGTTGCAGCAATTCCCTGCAGATAAAAATAGCAAAAAAAAAAAAGACAATGCTGTTATCAATAATTTAGCGTACAGACGGCATTTATCTGATTTTTTGTCAGGAGGGCAGGGTGATCTTCCGAAGTTACTACTTTTTACCGGTTATCTTCTATTACCTAATGATAGTCGAATGTCCCTTGAGCTAAATGGGTTTTTAAAGCCAGCTAATAATTTAAGTACGATCCCCTAACTTGGTACTCTCTGAAAATAGAGCTTATATTTAGTAGTTGTAATAGTTGTAAATTTATCTTAAATTCCATCAAGCCGACCTTGATGTAGGCAGCATCACCTATTTTTAAAAGCTCCGCCTGTAAATTCAGTAATATTGCGAGCATTATTGCCATATTGCGATATTATGTAGAAAACATTTACGCGTCCTTTTAGAATATAATGTGAATTCGTATGATCTTCGGTTTGAACAATTTCTGTCATATAGCATTTACCTCAGAGGTGCATTTGTCTGATTGCTTGGCCAACGAGGCCGGCCACTTTTTTCCCAATTATTTCACCATTGTGGGTGTTCGGCGCAACAGCTGATCCACAGTGACAAATGACCAGCCCTCTCGTTCACGGGTTCGGCGACCGCACAAATCTATCCTCAGTCTAGAAGTAGTCACACGCCTTGGATGTCCGGATGATCTCATCATGAATGCTCTTACTTCAGGATCTTGAGTGGTGAACAGTCTACTGTAATTAAACACACGTTAGTTCCTCGTAATTGAATAAAGCCGTTGGTAAACCTACTACAACATTATTAACACCCACAATTATACCTTGTCAACACTACAGACTTAAAAACAAATTGTGTTTGGCATAATTTATTGCGATGATGGCAGCATGTAACGGAACGGTATTTGCAGCCGTATTTTTGGCGGCCGCTTAGGGAGACGGCACTGCCTGAGTCAGCTAAGGTCTGTTTCAATTGGATGACAGAAATCAATAGCTAGAAGCTAAAGGATATTAATGTATACATTTCCTTTTCCAACAACTGTGTATAAACGTGATGCGGGTCACATGTACCATGCTAGGAAGTTCCTTTTTAGAAAGCTTCACCTCCATCACCTATATCACATAATTCTGTTAGTTAAATAGAAAAGGGGTATGAAGGTTTTCGTACTTACGCTGCAGGACTTCCTTTAACGAGCGGAAGTGAGATGCGTACGTATTCAAATTAAAAGTGATTTTGGAACTTCAAGCAAGGTTTCTCTATCAAGCGGCCGGAAAAAAAAGTTGTGTCTTCAACAGTCTTGAAAAACGTGAGAACAACAAGGGTCATATAAAAAATTCAGCTGGAGACTTACCTGTTTGAACTACGCTTAATAAATAAGTAAAGAACGGCAGAAAAAAGGAAACTTCTTCAATGTTTCTCCAGCTACAAGAAAGACCCGATACTCTATTCAAAAATTTATCTTTACTGTCCGCTTTTTTTTTTTTTAGTAACCTTTTGAAACTTTGCTCAATTTGGGATTTCTTTTCTTGAAATTTCTAGCACCTCTTTTCGACAAAAAGAAAGAAAAGCTACACGCCCCTCATATGTTGAGGGGTTTATATCAACCTTATCCGTCTAGGTATATATCATATAGGGGAATCGATAGTATTAGGTACGTGGGGGAAGTATTAGGTACGGTATTTCGAGTTTTACTGGCTATACTTCCGCTAAGGCTTTTTAGTAAGTAAATTCACCTGAAAACTTATCAATCATGATAGTCCTATCACTTGAATTACACTATCTGTACATGTTTCTACTACATAATTCACATTCTGATATTTTACATAGGAATAATAGTGATCAGTAAATATGTTTGGGAAGAAATGCTTACATTTGCTGTCTACACATTGATGCAGTTGAAATGGTTTCTCAAGTCTTCTAAATAACGGTTCATGTTGGTCGTGTTGGATGTTAACATTCCAACAATGATTTTTATATAAGGAGATGTTCTCTCTCTCTCTCTCTATATATATATATATATATATATATATATATATATAAAACATGCTTAATGGACTGTTTGGAGTAGCTATTTGTTGAAACGCTAAAAACGGCAGATTGCGCGGTGGAACTCGCTATCAAGCCGAGGACTTGTGGCCGACTTCACCATTCTCCCTTAGAATTAGGTCGTGTTGGTTAGTTGAAGTAAGCGCTTTTGCTTTTAGCGAAATATTTTAAGCCGTTCCTGTGAAGTTCGTGGCCTAAAATGACACAGTCAGCACGTTTGCCGTCAGCCCCGGGCTACAGAAGAGTTCCGTTGCATTTTGACGCTTTGGTAATAGGGTTAATGAGGCCAAACTTTTGAGTGGAAGTACCTAAAAGCGGCTTTTTCAGCATGCGAGCGCAGGTGAGCTCATTCATTAGTAGTCGGGGTTAATGCACAAGGCAAATTCTATTGGATTTTAAGTAGCAAGATTAAACAAAGTCAAGACAAATGTACCTGCATCGACCACCTTAGCGTATAGGCGACTTTGACTACTGGCACGCTCTCGTTAAGAAAACGAGAACTTCCGTATAGGTTTCTTGGAGGCTTTTCCGGAGCCATACAACAGCCAGCTATACGCTTTCGACAGTTTTCCCCAATGGGTCGAGTGTCAATTATGTGTGTATAGAAATGGTTTGTCTGTGACTTGATATACGCGAATAGAGTAAATAGTATGAAGTCATTGTTTGCTTCATTCATTCGTTCACAATTTAAGAAAGCGTCACGACCAAACGAGAATCTGTCGCATAATAATCTATCCAAACCTGCTGTGGGACTCCTTCAGCTCTTTGCGTTTTACTAGACTTTACGCACTGCGTATCGCTTCGCTACATTTAGCGTATCAAGAAAGATCAACACGAGATCTGAATAAATTTGTGCAGCCATCGTCAGCTAGTCAAAAAGCATACTTTACATGTTTATGTTTTCGCTGTTTTTATTTCATTTAAGCAACTATTATACATTTTTACCTCATTAATTTATATTACCGTCAGCAAAATTCGATTTGAGATGTCTCGAAGGGAACGCCACCTGCAGGTCGTTTATTTACTGTGTATCAAGCAAGTAGTACGAGGAACAGCTCCCCAGTACTACCTCCCGCATTGAATAAATAGTCAGAGTATAGAAGAGGTTTCAAAGCGAATATGTCGGTATCTACGAAATACAGAACGCTAGCCGCACTTCAGATCTCAGGTTTGTAGTAAAAAATTCACAAGCGTTTTATTTGTCAGGTGAATGCCACAGCGCCGCTGCTGTATGAACGCCGTTCCCCGCAAAGACACCTATCTACTCGGACCCTCATAAATCGTATATGTAATATATTCCTGTATATAACAAATCATACTTCATTGCTACATGCGTGTTCCGATGCTCAAGGCTGAAGGCGGTGGGGCATTATTAGTGCGTCGAATGCAGTAATCTCGGTTAATCGAGAGTTAATTAAATAAACTGGTAGTTTAACACTCGTGAAGGCCCGTTACTATTAGTTTTACTATTACTTGTAAAATATTACCATACATCCATGGAGCAAATATTAGACAGTCTGACAGGAAAAGCTTCCTGTTGCAGCCAGGGTTACGCATACAACTGGTTTTCTTTGTGATCAGCCTGAAAGTCACTGTCTTCATCGCTTCACTATGATGAACGGGATTTGCTTATAACCTAACTTGTATTACCGGCAAGTGCAATTTAATCATTCATGAATTAAACGAAGCTTGTTTCCAGGGTAATTACCATCTTTAGATATAGACGCTTCTACGTTACACGAAGCTGTTGCTAAGCTTGTGTTGTAAGCTAAGTTGTGTTGGTTATACTGAAACGATCTACTGGAAGTTATGAAATGAAAATTTGCAAAGGAGTGTGCCGACACGTACTGAATGCCCCACTGACGCTTAGACAGCTAACTCTGGGCATCTGGTCACCAAATTCTAACACCCCCTTTGAAAATAAAAGCCTTGCTTGTTTATTTGCTACGACACAAGTCGGCAATAACGCTGATAACACCTAACAGTATTGTTTTATTAGCTTAAACTGTCGGTCCTTGTGCCAGGGCGCGCGTAGCCCAGAACTTAGAAAGCGAAAGAGTAGATGCAGTATTGAAACACTAAAAGCCGACAAAGCAAATGCGATTAATACTAACATACGTGACCCAACCGTCGGTAGATAGGGACACGCTTCGCAACTCTGCTTGTCATCAGCAACATTACCATACAAACGCAAGCATCGTACACATTTGCTGCCCAAATATAGCCGAAAAAAGCTGCCTGGCTCTTACTGAGAAAGAAATGAACCAGTAATTGCCCACCTAATTCCCCAAATTTACAACAACAATACGCCTCATCCTAAAACCTGACCCATATTCTATAGTAGCGTTTTGCAGTAATCTCGGTTAATCGAGAGTTAATTAAATAAACTGGTAGTCGGTGAAAAGATGGTGCAAATGTAACAACGAACCCTCTAGTAATGTTTGTTCGCTTGGAAGTGTGGACCTGTAGCATGCGCCCTAGTTGGCTTTAAGAGATATTGGAAAAATTGACAGGTGAAGGTTGCCGAAGCGCAAATGTCACCGACATATTTCGACGTAGCCCAAGCTTTGGACTTTTTTTTCTAGTAGAAAGTATGTCTTCGCTGAGTGTTTCTGGGTCACTGTTTTCGGGTCGGCGTAGCTGGTGACGACGAGAATGTTTCCTATCAGAATTCGAAGATTAGCTTTCCCAAGCGTATCTTGAGCTGGTGCAGTACAATCAATGTGTTTTACACTCGTCATCACTAAGAAATTAAAATAATGTAAATATTAATTTTCTTTTAATGAAAGCGCCCTCGGGTAAGTGAGACCACATTAATTAAATATACTTTGGTTCAATGGCATTCTAAATCATACTGCACGTAAAGATAGATATAGAGCTCAAAAGAATTGCATTTGAGTGTCTTTTAGACTTTAGACCTCCTACAGTATTAGTAAAACAATAGTCCCGCTGTATGAGATGTCGACGCAATTGGATTGAAGTGATCCTATCAGTAGTAATCTAGGAAAAGTACGTTTGCAGCCTGTCGGTTGTACTCACGGACTCAAGATGCGTTTTGACTAATTACCTGAAGGGTTCTCCGGAAATATTGAGCCTTTTCAGCAAAACAGTGAACTGTGCTTTTCAAATCCCCAAACATGTAACGACATACGCCGTCGCCAGTACAAGGTAATCACAACAATGTAGCGAGACACACTTTTCAATATGAATCGAAGACCTGTTTAGTTATGTCATTTAGGAGAACATTATATTCAATGTTTGGAGCTTCTTTAAGAGGTTATTAATTTGAAGCTTCTAAAAAATAGCTGAAGCTTACCACGCAGGATGACCACAACCTATATTAATACCAAATAACTAAGAAAAATACAATATAGTGTTGATTTTCCAATAATACATAAGTGCTATAGCAATGGATACCAGCGTCAGAAGTAAGGCTCATTTATAAGGAAAGTTTCGCAAGCTGAAGTATGGTATAGAATAAAAAACATTCATGGAATTAAAATATAATAGGTAACGTTTGTTTAGGACTCACGTAGTAGATTACGAAGATCGCGTTGTCACAGTTATAGTTGTACCGCCCTAACTAGAAATTGTTCATGTTGGTCCTACCACATAAACATCTTTTCTTTGTCCTTGAACATCTTCAGGCATGCGCATACTCGTCATGCTACTGCTTGACACCCTTCCGATGTTGGGTAACGTTCTGATGCTCTGCTTTTTCGTCTTCTTCATATTTGGCATCGTGGGAGTTCAACTATGGGCGGGTCTACTTCGGCAGAGGTGCTATTTGCCGACCACTTTTCCGCTCAACGAAGAGCAACTCTACGACAAATTGTAAGTTCTAGCACCTCTGTCTTGAAAAAAACAATTGAGTGGTTTTAATGAGTGACGAAAGGTAGCGTAAGTAAATGCGCCTATATCTGTACAAGCAAACGATGTGTACGGATGCATGTGGTATAAGTAGCACCATAGGAGGTTATTGCGCACCGCTATATCTTCCTTGTAACTGACAGCATATGAGTTACAGCGAGTGGAGCACCCGTATTAGGAAAGGTAACCTAATGTCAATATTTCGATCAACACTAATTACCTTTACCGCTTCCTTTAAACCATATGGGCACTGCAGGAGGAAAGCGGCAAATTTTATGATCAGCTATCCCAAAAAACCGTTTCGTGTTATGGCTAAATATAATTATACGAAGCGCAATTAAATTTGATGGTTAAAAACATCCTCTAGGAAATGATACGATTATCTTCTTCAAGTTCAGACTCGTAGATTTGAAAAATCAAACACCACAGCCACTACTTGCGCGGAACTCGAAAATAATAATAATAAATGACTAGTCTTTAGCACATCTAAGATAAAAGCAATAAAAATAGTCTTAGTTAACCAGCAACGGAATATTAATTTCTCAGACTTGGAATTTCGGCAGAAGGAAAGCAAACAATTGCCGCGCTAGCAAGTAACCTTTCAACAATTGGCGTTCAAACACGCATAGCGAAATTGACCCATTAGATTATCGTACATCTGCAATAAGAATTTCTGATGCAATGATGACCAGGTTCTCACTGCGGAGGGTAAAGAACCGGAAAGACCCAATAGTATTATTCTTTGAGTCGTCTGAGGTTGAGAATTTCTCCAAAGATAGAATTAATTTTTTGTACGATTGATGGCTATGATGTGCATGCGATGAAGCAGGCAGCTTTTTTTGGAGTAAAAACCGGACAAACTTCCTCGTACACGTGCTAATATACGTTGTATCAAACTTGATCCGGCTAGAGCAACCAAGTACGGAAGCTAACTTTAACAATGGACCCCATCTCAGTCTTTCCATACTGCCGTTAGAGAGTTGCTGGTGTATACGGGCACTAGAAGACATTGCTACTCTGGCGCAGTTATCGTGATAAGGCCGCATGCTGTCGTGCGAAGCCGACCTCGTTGCTATATCGTCACCTTTACGATGCGACGACGTCTGGAGACCCCTACGACGCAAAATGTAAAAAACGTTTCGCTAGACTTAGGAGTGAATGGTCGGTGGCAGTTCCGTCTTTTCAACTATTGCTGTTGGCTTTGAAGGACGAGGCAAATACTTGAGAGGCACCTCTTCAGGCCTCTTCGAAAAGGATTGGTAGCGACTAGCAGACTTTACCATATTGAATGTCAAATTGGGCCAAGCGAAGCTCAAAAACCAAGTTTTCTTTTAAGGGTATTCCGCTTTTAGCCCTTGTGAGCGTTTCCATGCTCTCTCGTCGCTCGGCTCCATCTCGATTCTCTCCGCCTTCTACTTTCTCGATCTCTTTCCGTCGGGCAAACGGTAGCAAGAGCCAGGGACCTGCAGCAGTTACAGTTTCGCACGGACGTAGCTGTACGCAAGATAGAACTAACGTCAAAGAGAGGATGAGGGGGGAGGAAGAACCCAAAATACTCAGCTCTATTTCACACACTAGGCAACCCGATACAAGCCAGACCAACAGATGTCTCTTACTTCGGTGCCACGATGCTGGTCTATTGTGCGCCATACATACGGCGGCTTATTCATGTAATTTCCTTATCGTTTTCTGTCTTCGTCATCACTCTACAAAGCTTTATAAAAAATGATACATGAAAAATACCAGTCAAGTTGTAGAGTACAGCTTGTAAGCTAGATTTAAATTTGTGGTCCAATTGGCTTGCCCTCGTTTGGAGAGAAAGATTTACTCTTTAGATTCATTTTTACTGTGCCCTATCTGTCAAATATCAAGTCGGTTCGAAGTAATGCTGCGCGTATGAATTTTTGATTCCTTTTTTCTGTTCTAATATCTGGATTTACACGCCTTCATTTGAGAAAAAAAGATTGTCTCCTATATAAAACTGGAATTTACATTGGCTTTCTGTTTCTGAAACAGGAATGAGATGATTAATGCTGACAGGTAAACACAGACACGCCGTAACATGCGTCTGTAAACATAGGTATGTCTCTTCGTGCCGGTTTGTTTCAAACGGAGGATGTTTCCCTTTATAGCTATGATCGTTGTCGTCGTTTAAAAAATAGTTTCTTGCTAGAATGAAATTACGTTAACTTTTTACTCGTATTGCTCACAATGAAGTACATATTATCTGTAGATAGCGTTTCGAAAGACATCAATGCCGCAAGGTAATGCTGCAATGCGATTTTCTGCTTTGCCACGCTCTCCCGCCTATGTCACGAAGCAAAGCACTCCGCTGTCACCGTTTTGTGAAATGCGCGGAAGGAAAAAAAACTATCTTGAAGCTCGTTACACTGAGACTTGAACACGGCGACATTCTCCATACAGAACCGCTTTTCTTTTCTTCCGTCGTAGTGATATGGCCTTATTAATATGGTAGTTTGCGCTCTGTTAATTAGGACCAATGTGTAGATATATCTAATAATACATTAAATCACAGTCACGATGACCATTGGCTGAGAAAGATTATGATTATCAATGCACTCTAACAACTAACTCAGCTAGAAAAGGCTGACAGAGCGAAATATTTAATAATATTGTAACTTGATTAAATAGGAAACCTGTATAATCTGATTGAATTAAAGAAGTCGCTTTGGAAAATGCGTTCTAATATAGGTTCCAGCAATGTATCGTTTTTGGCTATTCATTGAAACGCATGGCTTATAAACGCCAACTTAAAACCAACTTTGTCCGATACGCTTCGAGATATGGAAAAACGACAGGAAAAGAAACATATAGAATATGTTTTTTTTCTTGTCGGAAACCGGCAGACGACTCGACGGCTTTGCGTCGTTGAATTATGGAATGTAGTAGAATGAAGTGATCTATAGCGTATTGCTTGGGCACTCTTTTTTATCGAGTCGTTGTGCTATCATTATTTTTTCTTCCTCACCTTACAGCAAAGTCAAGAACTACTACACTCTCGGCCAGTCGGAGCACGATAAGGACTACATCTGTTCTACTGAGAACAACAACGGAATACACCGTTGCGACTTACTCCCCCAGCGTATCTACGAGGATGTCGTGTGTACTCGACCATTCGAGAACAATCTAACTGTTATCGACCACTACGTAAACCGTCCAGGTTTGTTTCACTTTAAAATTCCCCAATAGTACAAAGTGCCGTAATCGTGGTGCTTGCGCTGTCTAAGGCAAGATTAGACCCTATAGACATTCAACCATTCGGCCGCGTCACGCTGCCGTCGTGCCCATGTTATAGTTAGAGGGGTTGTTCATCTAACAGGCTCTTTGTTTGCGCGATGTAAAAGATCTTACTAATTTTTCCTGACCCAACCCCCCTCGCTCTGTTTAAGTGGATTTTTCTTTGCATGACTGCTATGTCTTTGAGCTTCTTTGAAATGCCTCTAATTTCGACTCGCCAAATCAAAGTTGGCTACATATCGTCAGTGTTTGTAAGTATCTGGGTGGAAGGGCGATCGACGTTGTGCAACTCTTCATGCTAACAAAGTTTGCTAACGGTACCATAAGTTAGCTGACATAAGTGCACTGTCAAATTGTAACCTTCGTAGCGTCGCTTCAAATTTTCCAACTTACATAGAAAACATTCTGGTTCAAGCGACAAGAGCGTTTGGGCTTTGAACGATATGCCTCGTTGCGCGCGCTTAGTGGAGCCAGAATAACAGTAAAACTTCAATGTATAATGTTGTTCGACTCCATACTTTTCAATGACTGTAGCCAGCAATATCTGCTGATTTAATAAGCACCGACATCTGGAAAAGTCTAGTGCAACCGAATTGGAAGTAACACACATGTCCCCTATGATAGACCTAACTAAAAAGCAAATATGCCAGATGAGCAGCGTCGTTCAGTATGCACAAACCTATTATCAGACAGCTAAAAACAGTCTAGCTTGCCAGATTTCAGCTACTCGCAAGTCACGTGTGGAACTGCATTGGCAGGTTTAAGCGAGCCACCCAACTATATACGTCTCGTTAGCAAATTCGTGCTGTAGCTTCATTTTTTGAAGATATACCCTGCGTTTGAAGGACATTGTCAACGAATCTAACCCACCAGCGTAGTCGTTTAATGAGTTCGACAAATTTAATCTACCAGGTGCCAAATCACCTTAGATATACCTATGTTTTACGAAACAATTCGTTAAAGATAAGTAGAAAGTTTGTAAAACAGTATTGCTTATGTGGGTGCGATACAGAAGCTGGTGTCGCTCAGCGAAAAGTTGAAACTTGGCGGCAGCCACGAAAAAGCTTCAGGTCACAGTGGGCGTTTCGCAAATATGCGATTGTTTTGCCAATACTGCCTGCTCTAAAAATCGAAGAAAGCGAGCTTATGGCAATAAAACAACGGAGAAGAAAAGGAACAGAGCATTCGAATGCGGTTCAAAGGCAAAGGGCCTAGTTAGGTAGTTGGACCTGTAGCCAAGCACATGAGATGCACTCTATACCGAATTAAGCCAGATAAACAGCCTTGTGCTTTGTGTGTAGTAGAAAAAACGATAGCTTAGATTTGTTTGCGTTTCACCAAATGTCACCAAACCCATTGACCCACATTAATAACTACTTTTCAACAATAACTGATCTATCTCGATTAAACAAGCATTTCATGCAGAAGTATTACCAAGTTAATGTCGCTTTCCAAAAGTATGGTATTTGGTTGAAATTGAATAAGGTCACGTATACGAATACATCTCGTATCAACTTACTTACGAAAGACTGCTACGACACTGTACACAAGCTGGCGAACCGCGGCGATATAGCTATAGAATACGAGGAAAGTTCTGTCTTGAATGACTCAGGGTGATTTAACCAGTTACGTGTTTACGATTATTACCTATATGTGAACTGCAACGTCCGAGGCTAACGCTTGTCAAGAGAGAGGAAAAAAATAGACGGAACAAATAAAACACACACTTTTTATTTAGAAAAAATCGTTGGCCTTAGCTGATCCTTTGAGTGTGATATACGTTACCGATATCAGGACAAGCATTTCAGCCACAACTCGTTTTTCCTCTTTATTTGAGTTCTCTATCGTTACCATTATGATATGATCCGTTATTCAGTAATCCGCAAGTTCAGTGCTGCTTTTAAGGTTTACTATTATTGCCCGATTTTCTGCCCTATTATGTAAGGGCAAACGTTAAATTGCTGATCTCCTGATTGATGTATGCACTCACTAAGGTTACTGCGTAAGCACAATTCAGGGGCTCAAAAGAGAGACAGAAGCTCAGAACGTCTCGCCAGTGACTTCTAGTAAAATCCAATAAAGTTTTCTTAATGACGAATAGTCTCGCAGAAGGTCAACTTGTTTGTGTCACACAACATTGGGGATTCATTATTAAACCCCTCTGACCTTTATGCGGCTGCTGTCGTCGATGGCTACTATTGGCGTCTTCCTACTGCCGCTTGTCGCGCCTGCAAAGAAATATAGGCAGTCAAAAATGGCTAACATGTTTGTAGTTCAATCAATTGAATAGCACTAGATTAGACCTAGAAGGCACTAGTCGCTTTCAACAGGGACCAATCACCATTTTTGATTGGCTACCTCTAACTGAACACGGCGGGGACGTGACAATCAAAAACGGAACATACTACTGATACTACTAAATAAATAAAATAAAGATAAAAAGAAAAACAAAAAGCTTTGGGAGGAACGTAAACTGACCTAACTTGCGGGAACATTAAAACTTTTAACTTGTGCTGAACGGAAAAAAACAGTTGCCATCGTTAGTTATTATGCAAGGAGGCAATAATGTCAGTGTTAGTGGCAGAAGAAACACGAGCCCCTTAGTTTAATTTCGGATTCAATCAATGCCATTTCAGCCCGAAATTCGTGTAGGGGTGTTTTTTTTGCCTATTTCCGTTACGTACGACAACGTAGAGATCAGGTACTAATCGATACAGATCGTTTTCAATAACAGAAAGCAGCGGTAGTTTGGTAAAAAAATACCCGAATTTTTCTATATTTTTCGTTGAATAGATTAGCCGTCATCGCTCGTGTTTTAAATTTTAAATTGTAAAAAAATATGCATACACGGCGCTGCAGTCTCATTGAGACGGAGAGTTAATTGTATCTCCTTCGTTGAGTGAACTAGAATTGCGTAGATAATGAATAGTGAGAGCGCGTGACTACACCTGTGGCTTCATTGAAACATTCATTCAACATTAGAAAATTCTGTCTGCTAGCAATCCTGTGAAGTTTCAAATAGTGGCGTACAGATCATACGTTTTCTTCATCGTTCTGTCAAGATGCAATGTCAATGAAACCAGAGGTAGCTTGCGACTTCGGAACCGATGGGATTCGTTTTCTTTGAACTTGTTTTGAGTCAACTTATTTTATTCGTACTTCGTTAATACCTCAGCTAGGTAATAACCACGCTACTACTACGTACGATCTAAGAAAAATTAAATCGCAGCTTATCGCTCGACCCGAGGCTCCATTTCGCTCGCAAAATGTTTTTAATGTTAGCTTTCATCGTCCATTCGAAAGAGTTATACGTTCTAATGACTCACTTGTTTTTTAAATGACAAAGAAGAACTTTTCATATTACTCTAAAACTGTAAACAGATTCAAGTTCTACCTTTTTTTTTTATTTATCACAATCGATATATGAAATTGAGTATTTACATACTATTAGACTTATTATCTTGTTAATTAGGCTTAGTGCCTTTATTAAATATTTAATTATAGAACCTCATATTGAATTGTAGTTGTACTGATCCGTCTACCAACGTTACGCTAAAAAGCCAATGAGCGTTTAGTGGACATCAACCAATGACTAACTTCACTTGCGGAAGAAATGCTTTTAATACTTTGAGAAAAAATGAGAAAATTACAGGCGTATTTAAATAGATTGGGATTTACCCAAAAGTAATGAGCATAATAATTTAGCCGATTTCATATTTTAATGCAACCTGAAGGTTATAATTTTGCATATTACCTCACTGATTATACTATAGAGCTACGTATCTCCGTATTCATTGTCTGTTTCATAAACCCAGAACCCCGAAAATAGTAAAAGCGCCGAGGTGGGTGTTACCTTGCTGTTGCCGCACTCGATCAACTATTTACAGCATCTTTCATAATGCATTCACGACAAAAACAGGCACAACGACAATGTTGTTGTTGTCACTGTGATCAGTAATAACAACGTTGCGGTTGTTTACTGTGCAACAATAGCAATATATTATTGTTAATAGTAGCAATAACAACAACAACGAGACCAAGGCAAACGAAGTGGATGTGAGCTTCTTCTAGCAGGAACTGCGCAACACTTGTGCGAGGGGCATCGTAGACAAACAACATCTGGGTGAAAAGGAACACTAGTTATCTCTGCTTTTATCTTAATGCACTATCATCTCGTCACAACCGGCAGCCCAGTCGTGCTGTTGCTGCCGCTCGTGAGGAAATTCATCTTTCTTGCTCTTCTTTCGAATATCCATAAACCTGCAAAAATCGATATTTTTAGTAATCGTCTAAGTTCGTTAAAAGCAATGCACGTCCAGAAAACTTTCTTGCCTGTAGGACCGTTCTCCTTGGCAGCCAAAAAAACAGAGCGGAAACTCTAGATAACTGATGTCCTATCATTTTTTACGGCTGCTCAACGGAAAGACAATTATCAACTAATAGTAGTTTTTTTAAAAGGTTTGAACAATATATATTCATGAAACTCTCCATAAAGTTGAACGATTCTTTGATACATCTATAGAGTGTTATGCTTGCGTTTCTAGGATGCTTGTGGATAACATCACATGCAGACAAAATAAAATAAAAGTAAAACAACGAAAGTAGGTTTTAAACTGAAAATAGGTCAGCATAGGCCTTCGGCTTTGCATAGGCCTACTATTCTTTTTTATTAAACGGCAGTTTGAGAACGAGGCTGAAAGCCTTAGTTCAGTCAAAGCGTAGGAGCGCGTAGGGGCTTTGGCACACCTAAAAGTGGCTACGCTAATTAACTCTCTTCCGAAACCTCAAACTTGGGCGGTTTTCCTCCACTGTCTCTTATAGCGCCCTGATCTAATCTAGTTACCAGGTGAACAAAAATACCTGATAGAGAAAGACCTGGCAATATATGACCAACGCGTAATTCGAAATTCCAACTTCTAAATTGATGTTAAACCACTGTACATTTCTACGCCTTAACAGTAACGTCGGCTTATTTCTAATGGTGACGCACAGAATTCGTTATCTACGTTTAATGTACGCCGTACGTAATTAGATGAACCATGGGCTATCAAAGCTTTCACGTCAACATCTCTTACGGAGTGCTACGAAACAACAATGCCGCAGAATTGATTGTCTAAGATGAATTTGCCTGTTGTAGATAGACTTAGACCCTCGTGAATTCGTATAAACATGTTCTGCTGCTCTTAAATATCATCATATCAATATCTAAGTCGATAGGGATAAACATGTTGGCTAAAATGGGACTAGAAGACGGTCATATACATTCTACCGCAGGCTAAATTCGGGTCTTACTAGGCAGTCCGTCAGGAATAGCGCAGATTAAGACTCGTCTGCTGTGCTCATTGTAACCGTGACGGCTGCTGAAGAAATGCATTGTTGTGGCGTAAAGTTTGGGAAACGGTAGTAAAACATTTCTGCAAGCAAAAAAAAAAACCCTCACTCTTTGGTCAGTGCACGATGTTGGTGAATCTCTCTATGGTGAGGTATTAAACCTTTGTGGAGGAATACATGTGAAGCTATAGAAATGGTATAGGAGCGAAAGTTATTTGCTCTTGTAGCATCAAAGAAGTTAAGATTTATAGACGTTTATATAAACTAATCAGCGTAAAACCTCGATGATAAAACTTATTATAACCAGCTCCCTTCTTTTAATAAATCCTTTCATAAAATGTTCTCGCTCTAAACCTTTAAGGTTTTTTCTTCTATTAAATGTTTATTTATCGTCTTTCCTGTTCTTCAGTTATTTAATCTAATAGCTCTTCTTCCACTCTCTTTTAATTTAGCTGGTACTGCCTTGTGAAGATCGAAAAAAAAAGTTACAAAGAGAAGCCGTTTTTCAAATTGCACTCGTCTGGCGTCTCTATTGGTCACTGAATTTTTTTTTACTTACGTATTTTATATTGAGGACGTGATCAAAAAAATTTATATTTATGCCATCGATAGCTAATATATATATATATATATATATATATATGTAATAAAAAAGTATAAAAATAAAAGCGCCATAATTATCAAGCTCCTTGGCTGTGTTCCAATGAGTATGGAAGAATTTGTATACGTTTGCCTATATTCGCTTGCAAAACAGTTTGATTAAACCTTATTCATTAAATAGTAGAGCATAAACTGTTTAAAGCAGAGTAAAATGCTATTACTATAATTTTTGAATAAAATATACACAAGTCGTGTAATAAAAAGCTAGTAGAAAATATGTAGTTATACGGTTGCTTTGATTAAATAAATTTATGCATCGAAGCGAGGGCGAAATCCTGTATTAAAAGAATGGCTTTGCTTAAATTCAAGTTAAAAAAGTTATACAAGAAGTTGACGCTACGCTACATCTATACTATCAACGGCTTAACTGTATCAGACGAATTGTTATTGCAACAGCTCGTAGAAAGCAGCGGAAGTTTTCCCTTGGTTAAACTTGATCTCCGCAATGAAACGTGTTAGTTTCGAAGCGATCGTAAGATGTTTGTCTAAGGCGTATACAGTTAGAAATTATAACGGAAGGTGCGAGACTATCACACTTAATCCTGTATCTTGACTTAGCGGTGTTTCGAATAAAATGTTGATACTAATTTCTGTACTGTAAAAGAAATATGTTATTCGCTGTTTATTGCTGCTCTCGTTTCCTGGGGCTCCGGGTTCTTCTTCTCCGGAGCATTCTAATTGAAGCATAGATAAATGAGTACTACTAGATATAATTCTTACCATGTGATTGTCTCTACGGGTTAATTTCGATGCATGGTTTTATTTTATCGTATCGCACAGTCGACTAGTAAGCAGTTCGAGTTCATAAACCGGGTCTTAAAATTACGGAGAAATTTTTTCATAGTTTTAATGCGAAAGAGTTATAAAGAGACACTTTACGGATCTATAACAGTCAGCTGGAAAGTAATCAGCCTTTGGAGAATACTGCTTCTGGGCTAACCAGACGCTTGCGACAATTACACTAGTACAAAAAAAAAAAACGAACCCTTTTGCCGCATGACTTTCTAATAGTGAAAAGGAGCTCAGTAAACAAAAAAGAAGCAGCCTTTGCTCCTGAGTAGGTAATAGTGTTGAACCTTAGATGGTCAGCAAGGAGCACATTTGCTTTGTTTAGCATCCGGAGTCTGTAGATACTAAATTGCATTTCTCTCATAGCGATTACCCTTGATATCCAGTAAACGCTATTTGCAACGTCCCATGTCCTCTAAACGCTTCAAATCCATAATAATCACAAAATATTTATGTACATACACAATTGAAACTTCATACAAGAAACAAAAATCGGCTATCAGCATATAGCTTTCTATAGCCTCACGTTTTTTTTAACCCAATTTTGCTTTGAGTAGCGTGCAGTGCGCTCCCACGCGTACATCTTTGCTATATCGAATATGAGTTGTTCAGAGATTGACAGTTAACTTGAGAAAAATCTTATAGAGATATGGTGTTCTTTAGTGTGTCTATTGTTCAACGTTTGCCAACGTTGTGCTAGCCGGGAGTTGATTGACGGTGGTATCATTGTACGTGCGTGCATGGCCTTACACTATACTGATGGATATTGTGATTATTATGTTGACCACAGTGCCACGGTCAATATAACACGAATAATCAACCTATCTATCGCATAGTTGATCATCATATAATGCCCCCTACAGAATATCGCGCACTTGGACTAAATAGACATGCACTGAACAGCAATACAAGTATAATATTGTCTACGACCATGATCTTTTTTGACCGATGCATGCACTGCAAGTAACGGAGCTTTACTCACTTTGATTGCTTAACGTACATAAATGTTTGGATTTTGTGTTGGGGGCCATATACTGTAAAATAACAAACGTCAACATAGTCTAAAAAGTGGTTTCATACTCTACAAAAGCACAAAGCCTATTTAGCTGCTGTGAACTCTCAGAAGGTCTCGAAGGTTGAGTCTCAGCTTGTTTCTGCTAGGCCCTAAAGCTGGTAATCGATAGGGCTTTTCAGATTTAGTCAAAATCATTAAGGACCCTTTTGACGCATTCTTTGTAAACGTTTATTTAAGTTGCACAGTTAGAACTGTTACATAAATGAGTCCATAATTATGTTACGATAATTTGACTTTCAGAGGGGAAATCTCCGGACCACAGTCCCCCGCGGAGTTTAAACGATTCGTGGTGTATCAACTGGAACCAGTACTATACGAACTGTTCCGCAGGGGAGCGGAACCCCTTCCAAGGGGCGATCTCGTTCGACAACATCGGCCTAGCCTGGGTGGCTATTTTCCTTGTAAGTCAACAACAAGCTTTTACTGTCCAATCTTCGAATCATTTTGATGCAATAATCTATTCAATACAGAATTTTGCCCACGTAGATATAGCATGATGATAGAAACGGTTTTGCATGGACTTACTTTAACTTTAATAATTATAGTTGTACTTTCAGATAATTGTTCTAATCCACGGTTAACCATTTCCATGACCAGCATTTCCTATTACACAATTTGTTGTTAAGCACGTTTCTTTGTGTCTCCTGAGAGTAATAATTGTTATATTTTTTCCTCAAAAGAGGTCCCTTAAGCCGTTTGCTATAAAGCGTTAGTTTTGTTAGAAAAAGATAACCGTGAGGTGATTTCCAAGGTCTGACCTTGGCATAGTCCCGCAGTCTCTTTATGACATCACCAACCTGTGTAAATGCGATCAGTTAGCGATGCGATGCTTCTATCTTGTCAACAAGAGTCGTCCATTCAAAGCGAGCATCCCAAGGATAGTTAGCCTGTCTAACGATCCTATGGCAGGTAGGCAAAAAGTGTTGTTGCGATTCCCAAGAGAATTGCAACGGTTGCTCTTTGCGAAGCCGATCTGTTGTAGAAGTCGTGGGAGGTTAGGGTTCAAGGGGGGATAGGGATAACATGATGCGGTATCGGGGGGGGGAAAGGAGGACACTATTTGATCATTGTCAGATGCGACCTCTTTTCTTATAGACTTGCCCGTAATTAAATAATGCTCTCTTTCAGCTTTTAGGCAAAAGTTTCAAGGAGCGTTCCTTCCTCTCCTTCAAGTAGTCCCCGAATAGCTCCCCATTGAACGGAAAGTCGTTAGGCCTCTGGGTGTGGCCGTTGCTATAAGTCCTGCAGTGCTCAAATAGCGTCTAAATATAAGAGCGTGAGGATCTCTGAGAAAATGGCAGAGGGAAATAATTACATAGACACATTCATAGATCAGTTTATTTCATTGGATTAATTTGATGCATCTGATTTATTCAACCTAAGGCATGTTCCTACTTCCTATGTTTAAATGAGAACTTTAGTCTAACTCAAATGGACATGTTAAAACTCTATATATATATATATATATATATATATATATATATATATATATATGTAGTTTTACTTTCCTTTACCTTCAAAGAATAAAAAGTTGCAGTTCCAACTATCCACATCTTTTCTCGCTAAGCTCCTGACTGGTACCCACACCATTTTTTTCTGTGATTTGTAAGAAGCATCGGCTTCCACTAGCTCCTTCAGTTTGCCAGCAAGCTCTTTACAGCCTCCTGTTGTGTGATAATTATAACAACGCTGTTCCTAACTGAAAAACCTGAATCCTTTTGATATTCTTAAGTATCATAGTCTGTTTTACCAGCGTGTCCTGACTATTCAATCTAGCCGTCATTCCCTTTCTCTGCTCCCACTCTATATAGGGGCAACGGACAGTAATGTCCTTAATGTAAAACGTGGCTGAAGTGATCTTCGATTCTCCACTCTTTCTCAAGTGACTAGGAACTTAAGCGTCTGAAGAGCAAGTATCGGGTCGACCGTGATCGAGACTAGCCTTGGGCCAAAAATTCGGGTCGGCTAGCTGAAGCGTAGCTTCCCACTGTAAGTCGGACAATCTTCTCCTCTGCAATCTTATGTTTGAGCCCTGTCCAGTTTCCACTCTTCCATAGCCGGGTTGCCTGCTTCGTCTCCCAAAAAATATCCGAACAGCGTAATGAGGTGACCGTTTGCTCGCTTTGTTATCGCCCATTCGACTCCACTCTGTCGCACAGAGGCAGCATCTAAGTGATCAAGTATCCTCCATGTCCATTGCCGCGGGTTTTCTACGTAGATATTTGTTTGCTATGGCCACATACAATTGGCTGAATCCGTAGGAATTCTACGAATGAAACGTTTGAATATGGATGGAAAGTTAGTTAAGAATAGGTTTTGATGTTTAACCAAGCACGCATCCATTATCCACTGAGTATTGGCGTGTTTTCCTGAAAACTTGAAGTGAAGAGTACGAATTTGTTGCCCCCATAGCTTTAAGAAGCTGTTATAGTAGGCATAATTGTGTTTGTTTTTGTATCGTTACAGGTGATTAGCCTTGAGGGATGGTCCGATATCATGTACTATGTCCAGGATGCGCACTCCTTTTGGGATTGGATCTATTTTGTCCTTCTCATTGTGGTAAGTACTGTAGCCGAAACAACGGTCTTGTCTATACAAACCTGGATGCAATTGTTTGTTCGAATGTAAATGAGTCAATTTTCGAACTACTGGATGATCGTTTGTAGTTCATGCTTATTTTGACAAAAAAATCTGGTAAACTTTATAGCAATCTGATGCAATCTAGAATCTTCCAACAAGATTGACTAAGTCTAGAGATTTTTCCCAAATGGACCAACGAGTGTACATTAGGTTTCGTGTAAAAGAAAAACTCAATAGAACCGCTGTAGATGTTGCAGAATGCCTACGACGATTAGACACTGAGTATAGCTAAAGTAAGCAGGTGGTTGAAGCGTTTCGAAAATAAACGGGACTCTATCGAGGACAGTTTTCATCCTGGGAAACCTTTAATAGCGACTATGAACGAGAATAGTGAAACAACCGGGACCTGTTAACAGTCCAATCATCATAAAAAAGCTAACACCAGGAATATAGCTCTCAATTGGCCTACCTCAGGACATTTGAACGTCAGAAGACTTAAGGCAAAATGTATGTCGAACCAATTGAACGTCCAGCAGGTGGACACCTGAAGAACTGTATATTTGACACTTCTAAAAGAGAGAAACTTGCTTGAATCTGTCATTACGAATAACTGCACGTAAGCGTACGGCTACGATAATGACACCAGAACGCAATCTTTCAACTAGCCGTTTAAAAATGAACGCCGACCAAGAAAAATTGCACGACTCAAGTGCAAAAGGCAAGCTGGCTCTCACGTTTCCCTTGATCGTCGGGAACCGTTCGTTATTAGTTCATGTCGTCCGGCTTCATCATCACCAAAAAGCAGTATCAAGAGGTCTTAAGAAAACTGTGTGCTAATGTATACGATGCAAGGTACCAGAACTGTGGTGCAATAAGTCCTGAACTTTCTATTAGAATAATGCGCCGCCTCACACTTCACTAGCCGTATAACAGTTTTTGAAAAAAAAAAACTCGATGTGTATGTTCCTCTAACTCCCCGTACTCACTAGACCTAGCCTTTTACGACTTCTCCCTATTCCAAAAAACTTGAGAAAAGCCTGGGGGCAAGTGTTTCCACGCGACAAAAAAAATGAAGGGAAAATCACTCGTTGAAATTGGGGCTATCCCGACGCTCGAATTTGAAAAGTGTAGTTTAAGAGTGAAGGAATCAGTGCGTTGCGTTCGGCGGAGTAACAACGTAGACAGTAACAACTTAAATTGGAACGGTTACCTATTGTTTTTGGATAAAGGACTACAGTACTGTGCGAATCTGATTTAGCTCACAGAAGACTAGGCTCGTCTGTCGTGTAGGCATAGATCAGTAGATGCTGAAGGCCTAGATGAGTTGTTAATTGTTGTAAAGTTTCATGAATTGTAAGTAAATAGACCTAGCGGTTGCTGTCTATGATTTACTATGAGGTAACGAGTGAAATGACAACTGTTTAAAAATCTCAGCCGTATTTACTCTTCTATCGAACGATACTTTTACACATACGCGTTGATTCAAATGAATGTATCGTTACCGTAACAAGTGATGTAAACTAAAAGAACAATCGCACAAACGAAAATAGGACCTCTACACATGCGTAGGTAGGTGCATATACGATACATAATTTCCGCATATGAAACGTGACTTGACTCTTAATTATGATAAACTTTATTACCGAGAATGCATTCGAGTACGCCGAACGCTAAGGACGGTCAATAATAACTTAAAGACAATTCTCCCTTTTTTGAGGCATATAGTTCGATCAAACATTTGATAGAATCAGTCAGTATCGTTTTCAGTTTAACGACCACTTACGCAGGCTCGTTATGGTGATTTGTCCATATCAAAATTGAAGAACACTCTCTAAGCGTTCTTATAGAAAAGGAGCAGGTCGAATTCAAATATGAAACAAATTACGAAAATCTTTGTTGGGGGCTTTTACTGCTACAGGCGTGGTCAGACCAAGAGTCCAGGAAAGCAGCAAAACGTCTAGATAGAAGGGCAAATTTAGCCAGGCTCAGCTCCGGCCTGGGGTAGGAGGGACACAAGAAGGTAACAGAAGCTAAAAAAAGTTTGTTTTTCTTTCTCCCACTCCCCTTTCAATTTTAGTTGCGTTGTATTGCCCTTTTGGCTCTTGTGTACTACTTGTATATTTACCGTCCTGCTTCCGTGTAGTTCAATCACCGTCTGAATTACGATCGCTCATTCACCTGGTGATTTTTTCGTGTTTTGTCCGGTCCGATGTCCTTCGGTGGTCTTGCAGATCGGTTCATTTTTTATGATCAACCTGTGCCTGGTTGTGATCGCTACTCAATTTTCGGAGACCAAGAAAAGAGAAATGGAACGCATGCGACAGGAACGCCAGCGCGCCGGTTCAAGTTCAACCATCTCAATGTCGGAGAGCGCCGACTGCTATACGCAGATCATTAAGTACCTGACCCACCTGGCCAGAAGGGCCAAACGAATCACAAAGAGATGGTACCGGCGGCGGCGCAGGCAACGAAAAATCAAGAAGAGGGTAAGCGTCGCACCACACTCGTCTATGGCAGGGTATGAAGTCGATTTGATAGTGAGTTTCTTAGCCAGAACACGAAACGGCGCTTGCCTTATACAGTCGCAGTTTCCTCATGAAGTATTCTTTCGATATCAAACTTTGATACAACTTTTTTTTTTTTTAATATAAAGCCTATACAAAGCTAAAAAAATCAGCTTTAGTGTTCTATGGTTTCTTGCTAGGGTGACAATGTCATTTGCTTCTTTTACTACTTTCAACATTACCAGTATTATTAAACTATTCTCTCGATTCTTTTGTTACCAATGCAAGCGAAGATTTAGACTCGTTATAAAATAAATTAATAGAACAGATATATATAGTAATTTGTTTTCGCAAACCATTTTGCTAGCTGGCATTTATTTTTAAAAATGAAAACCCTCGTATAATTTCTACTGCGTATGTCAACTAGTGTTATATGAATCGGAATAACTTAAGTTTTATATAATAGAGTAAGTTGTTGATTTGTGCAAATAAATAACGTTTTACTCAAACTGAATGGGTGGAGAGAAAATAGCGAGTTCCGACTTACTTTTCCTTATAGAAATTAATGTATCAAGCCTGTCTACCGGCATAGGTACCACATCTGCTGACACCCCATTATGAACCATATATGTTATATATTATTACTAACTTATTATGAGAAATCTGCTATCAATATTCACCAATACGTACATGAAACCTATTTGCCTTCGTCGCGGGGCGCGAAGCTGATTTAAGCATTTACATTCTTGAGAGCTGTAAAATAACGATAGGTGTCTTTGCTAGGCCACACTGTACTTAGCTGCTGTTAGAACGTAACAAATGCTACGCGATATCTACAAATATAGGGTGTTGCCGATATACGTCTATGTCTTACAAAAACCTAATGCTTAGTAAAGGTTTTGTTCAGCTGACTTTGGCTATTCTTGATAAAAACCGAGTTATACGTTTATATCGATCAGTTCACTTTTCAAGTAATTATCAGTCTTCTTTTTGTGGTCGCTGTGTGGGACATTAACGAATACCGAGTTATGTTAGATTGAAGCTCACATGCGCTGATAGCAATTCCACACACAAGATACGTTTGTAGATAAATGGGTCGGTCTTGATAAAGACTCGTTTATTGGGGCGCCGGTCGGCACGGCGTAGAAAATTCAAAAAATCTGTTGTCTAGAGCACTATGGATCAGGATACTAACGAGCATGATTATTATCATTGACGTACTTATTTTTATCTGGCTATTTCAGCGAAAAGAAAATGAACTGAAGGACATAATAGAGGAAACGGAGCTTGAGGATCAATCGCATCGGCCCGACAAACATGGACATCGGTGCCATTTAGAAACAAGACTCAAAACACAACAACTTACGGTGGTTGCCACAAGTGCAACATCTGCAACCTATGAAACCTCTACCCCAACCCGTAAAGGTATGTTGGTGCTCCACACTCCCTCATCCGCCGACCCCGCTTTCTTCTTTCCTGGGCCCCCACAAGCGCTTATTATCCCTTCTCTGGCGAATCTGCGTCTTCCTACGGGACCAATAACTCACTGTATCGACAGCACCAACCAACCAACCCGGTATAGTTCTTACCATAAACCTTTGTTCTTTCTACTACAACATTATGGAAAGTCTCAGAGAGTAAAGTACGTAAACGTCATTACGTTGTCACGTGTCTCCCAACTAATACGATTTTAGCTTGCCTTGACCTACTGACGAGTAGAGGTAGTTAGTATAGTTTAATGCTCTTTCCTTTTCTTCGTAGAGTACAGCGGACAGTATGCACCCTGTAAACGTGTACTCGAGCCCGCGTCTGTGTCGCATTACTACCATATCAAGATACGTCTATGGCTATCTGTCGTCGCCTCTGTGATCTTCTTTCCTTTTCTTCCCCATCTTCAACACTGTGTTTCATACAGCACCACGGAACTTTATCTTCCTTGATCTTACTAACTATTGCTGTTTTAGTGGATCTCTTTCTTTGCTTATTCGTCTCTGAGCATCAGAAAACAAATTCCTTTCGGTCTCTTACTTTCTATGTATCTATCTATGCGTTTCTGTTTTCCGCTCTATACTCTATCGCTAGTGTTGATTGTCCCCGCTGTTTTATTTCCGCTGTCCTGTTATCCGTTCTAGGTAGCACGGGCGTACGAGACCAAATGCCATGCCCCTGCCTCGAGCAGCTGGGCCCCACGATACGTGCTGTTTCGTATTCGGGGGACCCAGACGATTACTGCCAAACCCCGTACCACCTCGACAGTTTCGACCACCTCGAGCACTTTCAGCACATCCTTCCCCGCAAGTGCACTTGTATCTGCCTCCCTTCCTGCAGCACGTGCTCTATTGTGCTACATAGCGGCGATTGTCATAGTACTTACAATGACAATAGCAATAGCTTTCTGCCGCTAGCGCAGCAGTTTCCGCTATCTCAACAGCAGCAACAGGCACGGTCACAGCCGGAAACGGTGACGAAAAATGGTTCGACACCGATCTTATGCGCGCTCAACACAAATTCAGCGTCTGCTGCAGGAGCTCATATAACAACAGCCCCAGCTGGTGCAGTAGGCGCCTATGGCGCGGACGTTGTTCCGAGCATTTCGGCCACTGTCGACACTCAACAGCGATACCTTGGGCATAACGAATGCCAAAAAAATGCAAATTATAACAATGAGCGTAACAATAATAATAAGAACAGCCCTGTAAATAGTAATTATAGCCGTGATGGCCATAGTCAATTTGTCGTAGACATTTGGGCGTCTTCAACAAGAGGAGCTTCGGGGTCGAATGTTGTGGGGATAGTAACAAAGACACTTGTCTCATCGTTGACCCCTTCGTCAATAGCCAATGCTCTGCAAAGGCAACAGCATGATAGTGAAGGCGATCAGTCAAACGTGTATGTCGTACATGACGCCGTAGAATTAGAACCGCGCGCGGCCGATTTCGATCTAGCTCTTCTGGACAGATTCTCATCGGCTAACGTCAGTCATGCCAGTGGCACGAACACCTATACCGGTAAGTCCCTGTTGCTGCTGCCCCCCCCCACACCAAATATGCCGGAATCAACAAGAACAACAAAAACAATCTTACCTTTACCACTACCTCCGCCGGAACAAGCGCCTAGTATTGTACTGCAATCGACCGCTAGAGCCATAACGCTCACCCCAGGCAAGCCAACAATAACGCCCACGACACAACCGAACGACCGCGTGGGCGAAGGTCATCTGTTGGCATCGGGAGGCGAACTGTCGATGGGCAGTAGAAATAGCACAGATATACAATGTCAAACTGTAGTTACTAAAGAACGCGATACCGTTTCGAAACTAGCAGATGCTATACAACCAGCAGTATTACCAGCAGCACAGGATCCACTTCTATCCAGTTATCACACGAATGCCGTAATCGAATTGGTTACACAAACAACTATTGGACAACAAAAAAGTTCGTTGGCCTCAAGTTCGAAAAATATTAGCGTTACTAACGATCGAGGCGCTGCCAATACGCCGCTAAGTTATAAAGGCAACCACAGTACCATCACCGGCATAAATGGCAATATCACATTCGGGATCAATTCCGCAGCTGAAGGTAACCCTGTCACTGTGTTTTCATCTCTAGATACTGCCAACAGCTAAGTAAATTTAATGCATTTCCATTGGCTATTGTCAAATGAATTGGCTTCCACGACCTGTATCAGTTCCGTTAGGAAACAGCAATATGTTTACTATCTATGATGAATTCACGAGCATGCCTACTCTTTAGGATTTGTCTTATTCCAGCTAGATAATAGGTTGCTTTACGGCAAAAGTGACCTGAATAGATGCATGCGCTATGTAGACCAATGTATCACGAGATACTTTCTGAAGGACATTCACAGATCGGTCGTGGACCGTTGAAGCTTACTTAGTTTATTCATTTGTTTATTCTCCTAACAGATTTTCCTCTTGAGTAAGCTAAGGTGTCTATAAACCTTCAGAATGTAATGAACCTAATATGCGAACTATCTCATCCATACATTCGTGTTAGATTTTTTTAGGACATAGAAAAAATAATAACTAGAATTATTCACCCGCTTTATAGTGCTGCAGACATCACGCACTTTATTGTTGCCGCCCTGTTTTTGATGGTTACATTTGACAAAAACATTGTTCATTAGGTCACCAACCGCCTGGCGTTGTGCACCCCAAATGGACCCCACGGGCTGCTGTACTCTGAATTAAATCTACCGTTTATTGTTGGCACTACCACCCCCCCCCCCCCAAACACACACACACACACCCGTTACACTTACATACAGACTCACATTATTTACATCCCACAGCACTACCTACCGTTAGCAAAACCCCTTGTTCCAGCATTATCGCGCCTGTAAACATATGTGGCAACTAAGTATAGATAAGACATAGATAATATCACTATCCGTGTTTCAATCTTTTTACCTCTATATTTCTGTTCGCTCTTCGGGGCGCGCCTCAAACTCGTTACACCCATTCGTTCGCTCACAGGAAAACCTACACCCTAGCGTAGGCTGATCTGATTGTGCTTCTTTTTTTTTTTTTTTTTTTTTTCTAAAACGATAATAAGCAACTATTACGAATTCTGCTCGTATTTACTAGAAACGTTAGAGTTGATTAGATGAGGTTACGTTAGGCTATATCTGCGTGTATATGTATATCGTATCACCTTCGTCAGTAACACAGTTCACCAATCATGATCTCGTGCAGTCTGTAGACACGTTGTCCTCTATCTGTGTCTATTGTTACCATTTTCACTATTATTCTTTTTATATGTTACCTAATTAACTGACTAATTTTTACGATATTTTTTTTTTCTCACACTGTGTCTCTTCTTTTCTTCAATGTTCTTCTTCACGTCTGACCTCACGGATTTCTTCCCATCGGGTTGTGTTGTTTCGCTGCTGCCGTTGTGCCACCGCCGCTGTGCTCTGCGTCGGTCCGGCTGACTTTCTGGGACACGCACGCTGACCTTTTGGCCGGTCACCCTATCACCGTGATCATCGTGATCTTTTTTTTCGTGTCATTCATTTTTTCCGTGTTTGTCCTTCTTTCGAACTTTTCACTATTACACATTTTCTATGTTCTGTTCAATGCTATCAGCGTCGAGTGTGTCCTGCCAACCCGAAGCACGAACAACCGTATTAGTTTCGAAGAGCACCTGCAGCACAAATATCAATAACACCAATGGCTCGAGTCATGCGGCGACAGTCGTGTCGATCGTTTCGAGCTGTCAACCAGCTAATATTAGTAGTAGGCTACCGTCGGCGGCCACGGCAAGACTGACTCAGGCCATCGCCACTGGCAAGAGCGATCCAGCCGATAAGCGCATCACCCAGACTTCACGTCCGCTAGAAGGAGAGCAAGCCGCCATCACCTCTATCACCAATACCAATACAACGTCACAACCGCTACAAACCAATACCGCTACAACTATAAGTGCAACAACAGCGCCAGCAAATCCTCTATCAATCTCAGTTTCCGTATCTTCATCGCCAACGATTCTACTCCGTTCACCGGCCGCTACTACTACCACTTCTACTACAGGTAGCAATGGTACCAACTCTGCTTTTTCTAGTCTGCAGCAGACGGCTGTTAACAGCACAACAACATCAGCCGCCGCAGCCAGTGTCCATTGCCCCACAACGAGTTATTTCATAGACGATACTGACGGCTATAGTAATTTGACTGTTCCTAGCGTAATGTCAACAGCTACTGGACAGCTACCACAACAGCACCTACCGCCACCGCCTGTATGGTCAACAAAAAACGACATAACACAAATATCAGCTGGTAGCCAACAGCCACAACAGCTGCAGCAGCAGCAGCAGAAGCCGTCCTCTGTAAAAGTAATTACAAACAAAGATGGAAGAGCAGGACTAGTAATTGACAGAAAAGCGCGGCCAGAGACAACGCCAAGTCACCAAGTTGTAGTCGAAAGTAGCGGCGGGTACCTTGTTAATAGCACCGCTATACGCTCGCTTCATCCACAACATAACGTCTCTTTACCTCACCACAATCTACCCTCTACAATCTGTTCTTCTTCAACCTCCGCATTAGTCCCCACTTGTTCCTCTTTTTCTTCTTATTCTTCTCCTTCTTCTGCAACAACAGCAACAAGATCCATTATTATTTGTACCTCACCGGCCCCGCGATTGCCACGGGTCCACCAGTCTCCAGCCATAAGCGGTGACTTCTCTGCCCAGAGAACAACGATAGATTCAATGGACCAGCAACAACGTGGGTCCAGAAACGGACAGCAAAGTCAGTCATTATTCCCTATGGTATCATGCAGTGAACATTCGATTAACGTGAGCAATTTCCCTTACGTATCATCCGATTGTCATTCACTACCAGCATCTGCCCACCGATCAGACGTAGCATTAGAGAGTAAACAGGCTTCTGGGATCGTTGCACTGCACGAAACTAGTCTGAATCCATCGATGACGTATGGAACCGACTCCCAACTAGTCTCAGGTCCCCCGTCCATCGACGATGATACTGCCTTCATCTGTGTAGGACTAGGTGGGGGAGGGCCTGTTCAACCTTTGACCATAGAGCTTGGTTCCAATGTAGGTGCATCGACCGATATCGAACAACCGCAGCTACAACAACAGCTTCACGTCAACAATCGACTAAGCGAAGTGGAACGCAAAAATAACGCGTACAGCGCAGGCGATGATGGTAAGTCACCATCGTGACTCATAAACAAAACGCTATTCGAAGTGCTAGATAATTATATAGTTTTTGTATATTTTATGAAGAAATCAGCTTCAAGTCGACAGGTAAGAAATGTATAGTTATTAACTGTTACACATTTTCAACGGTGTTCATGAAAGCGGATGTCTTGAAAAAGACAAGCTTAGACATCAGGTAAGTTAGGCTAAGCTGAAAGCATTATTTCGGAACTCGGCCGCAGCCCTCAAGGCCGCGGCCTTCACGGTTGGGCTAACTACGCTCACCTTATGCCTCCACCTAACCTTACGATTTTTTTTATACAACTTCCCTGTAATTGTACATAGTTCTATTTCCCTGTGCAATGATTATTGTGGACTATTCGCATACGGTACATTAGCAATACTTTTATGTAAAATTTGGAAAAATATAAAAAGGCAGATCCAAATTAAATATTTTTAGAAATATGGTATTTTCTTTGACTGATATATTTTGCATGTGTCCATAAATACAACGCGGAACGGGAAGTTCTTTGCGTCGATACGTCGGTGCGATACATATATAGAAAACATTTGCCCACCATTTTACTCCCTGTAGACCAATCGTTAATTACCCAAAATATCTTTCTTTGCCTCCCTATCCTGTTCAAGTCCAACTCGCCTAATTGCAACCTCCAAAAAAATATGTTCCCCGTAGCAATATGTCCAAGAACTTTTCCTCGGTTTTTCCGAAAGCCCTAAAAATTTTCTAAGCCAATTTCCATCCAGAAAAGCAATAGAAAAACACGCTGCCAGTTATTCAAAATGAGCTACCAATATGTAATTCTAGCCAGTCCTTTTTCTCCTGTTAAAGTCAAATCGCTTGTCCTAAACAGAGCCTTTGTCGCGCAAAAACAGAAGGCAAAGCAAGGATTCATCGCAAAGAGCATACAAAGCATATACGTAAGCTATACGTGTCAAATCAGTAAGGAAAATTGAAGTGATATTCAGGAACGGTCGGCTTTGGTGTAACATGAGGACGGGCATTTTGAGCAAGGCTAGCAGGCCTATCGGCTAACCTCTCACTGGATCTTCAGTGCCAATTTACATTCATCCGAATAAATGATTTCCATCTGTTAAAGCAAAAGAACGCCCCTTTGCTCTTGTAGTTCCCGTAGCTACCCTCCAGCAACTTCAGTAGACCTACCCGGCAGTCCTCAACGGCCAGCGCAAAAAAAGGCGCTAATGATGGTACCAGCGCCACCGACATATTGCTTCACGGCGGACTCGGGCAAAACACGATGGACATGCATGATCTTTTGAGCTAAACAGCTGCCGTGTTCTAGTTCACTTCATTGCGTTACTCGGTGGGACGGCAGCCCTTGAACTGCGAATCCTCGAAGTGTGTCATCGTTAAATATGTGGCTTCACAGAGCAAGTCTTTCTTCCCAATTTGACGTCTCGTATTGGCTGGAAACATATCCACTACCAGCATTAAATCAGACTCAACTCTTCGACGGTTAAACCTACAGGGAGCTCTCTCTGCGCAGAGCAATACAGAGAAGAGATATTATCTCTATGCAACTTTAGCCAGTTAAATAAACGGCCATAAGTTGGGAAGAGAGTTACTTGAGTATAGAAAAGTGGTCGACTTCTTTGATCTTGCAGGAAACGAGCTCAAAGTTTTTAATTAGGAACTTCTCAAGTGTAGGAGTTAAAGCTTCCAAATGATCTGATCCTTATTTGTCTACTGAGTGAGTCGATGCAACTGTTGTATGGCAACGAATATATTGTTAAATAGAAAATTGACTATTCAAGATCAGGGTACAAATAATAGACAAATAATTTATAACCACACTGAAACCTAGTTATTAAGGAAACTAGAAGAACGTTAGGCCTTAAAGGTATAAGCCCCCACAGAATGAGGGTATACTGCCAAATGCTACATCAGCTAGACAATATAACAGGCACCGCATTTTAGATATGCAGTTATAGTATAGCCACCAGTTACTTTTATATTTTGGTTAACATACCCGTTAAGTGGCGAAAAGTAACGATAACACGACCAGTTATTTTACTTTCATGATCACGAACAGAAACTCTGGATTCGTGTTCGACGTGCTCCTCGTGCTCGTCCGACTGTGACTGCTCCGACGAAGACTGCGATGGCAGACGCGGCCAGCGGAAGCACGCCAAAAAGGAACCTAGCAAATTCATCCGTGCTTCTCTCGATCTCAGAGCCAAACTCAAGATTCTCGTTGACCATCCTAGATTTCAGGTAAATCCTTTATCTAATAGATAAAATAAGCAACTAGTAAGAAACCGTTATTCTGGATATATGTACTTTGGCTGTCGTGGCCTTAGAAGACCTTTTTCCTTAAATATGTAAACTCTAAGAAGATGTATGATGACATACCAAGTTCGAAACGTAGGTTCAAGTTCCGCAACAATTATTTTAGTCAGCGATTGACAAGCGAGGTGCTGCTATTGGTTTAAAGCAGGGAATAAGCTTCTTGACATTATGCCAAAATTTCAGCGTGGTATTCTCGCAGCGATCCTGGTGAATACTCTCTCAATGGGAATTGAGTACCACCAGCAGCCACAGGAGCTTACCTTGGCCGTAGAATTATCAAACATCTTGTTTACATTTGTCTTCGGCCTTGAGATGCTCCTCAAGATACTCGCGGAGGGTTTCGGCAAATACATCCAGTCGGGTTTCAACCTGTTCGACGGCATAATCGTCGTACTGTCGACAGCCGAACTGCTCAACCAGTCCGAAGGATCAGGACTCTCCGTGTTAAGGACGTTTCGACTTCTCAGGATACTGAAGCTAGTCAGGTTTGTAAAGGCAACCACAGTAAGCTATTGTTCATAGATTACTATCGCACAATGCAGGTCTCTCATATCGCTTCTTGGGGAAGCTATTGCTTAGAAACGGATTTCAGTTGATGTACACTTTTATCAGAGAAATGAATCATGTGATTTGGTGGTGCTGACGCAATATATTATATATATTTCGCAAGACGGACACATCCTATAAATAGCACTCTGGGCGTTCTAGCTAAGGTAGACTGTGGCTAAAAAAACGAATGTTTCCAGTGTTACATTCCATACTAGCGTTAAGCATCGTTTTAGATGGTTGTTTCCCAGTACGAAACGAGGTATGTCTACGTTCAACTTCCCATCTGGACTACTTCACGTGCCCTTAAGTTTGATAAACAGAAGTGACCACTGTGCAGATTGCACCTACAGGGGCCATACCTGCGCTGGTCAAAACGGCGTTCTAAAGAAACAAACAAAGAAAAGCTATTTTAAGAGTCTCATCAAGATGCATTACGGAAGGTGGGGCTACTTCTAATTAAAACACTACGATAGTTCCAAGTTAATTTTCTAAATAGCCTCAACGTAGAATTCTCAAAAAAATACGGTGATTTACTAATAGCCATTTGTATGTTTGTGGTAATGTCATAGTTCCATATATGGTGGATGACATCTATTATACCATTATGTTCCAGATTTATGCCAGCATTGCGACGTCAGTTGTTCATTATGCTGAGAACTATGGATAATGTGGCCGTCTTCTTTGCGCTACTAATGCTGTTCATATTCATATTCAGGTCGGTATAGCGATAACACACATCTAGACCATTGACTCTTCAAGATCTATCCACTGCTATACTGCGGGGCTCGGTACTTCATTTTTGTACCTTGCGTACGTTTATTGTAGGGTCTAACCTTATCTATTTCTCGACGAATCGAAACTCAGGATTTAAAAATGACGCATTTATATTCGAAGCTGTGTTACCATCGATTCGCTCAATAGCGACAGAAATATCAAATGTTAAGAAATGGCCATGCCTGAGCTATATTTCCAGTGAGAAAAAAACTGAAGGGTGCAATTAGTTTGAGTTTCTTGCAAGCAAAAGCATGTCTGGACATCTCGCCAAGTGATGGAAAACGCTTAAGACATCATTACATTCGATTTAGCATGAATTCTCACTATTTACATCAATATAAAAGACCCGCAAAAACAATGCGATGGTAACTGGAAAACGGAAGGGAAGCCTAAGGCGTCAAACGAAAAGACGAAGGGGTAAACAGTTTAAAAGACTGTAGAAGAACTAAGGAAAGGAAAAAACTAGAGGCTGCAACAGGTATCAGTCTTTTCAAAAAACACTTGTAGGGAAAAAGCAAACGCTTTTTCGCTTATCCAGCGAGTGTTCCCCATCAGATCCCGCAACTTTTCCTGTCCGCTACCTACCTAGCTTCGTCTGTCTCATTATCATTTCAGGTAAGAACCGCTCATACGATCCGAACGACGTTATTCGTTCCATTCGCTAGTTTTATCTCCTATTAGCGGCGGGCATTCATCCTATCGGATACATGGTCCGGCGTCCTGCAAGGCTTGATACCAGATTCAGGTCGTGCAACGAGCGGTCGGCTGGCCAGTCGTATTGCTCTCGTACTATTCTCTTTTGCACCATATTCGTCTGCTGTACACACCGTACCACCCTAGCCATTACTAATGCCACTACTGCTGGTCTATTTGTTACGCGATAATGTTGGTCATAGTGGTGCAGATTGGTTTTCCGGTTTTGAGTCTACAATTCCTGTATCGGCTCTCTCCCCCTCTCTCTCTCTCTCTCTCTCTCTCTCTCCTCTGTCGATCTATCTATCTGTCTATCTCTCTCTTTAGCTCTCTGTCTGTATCTTGGCCATATTGTTCATCTCTATTTCTTCCTCTATATCTTTAGCTTCTCCTTCTCTCCGATCACTATATTACCTAAGCATTTTATTAGTCGATCAATGATGGATCGCGGTGATAGGCAAAACAATTCGCATCGATTATGTATAATAATATTAATAAAAATATGAACAAATCAACAAGACGTGGCAAACGAAACAAGTTACTGTTCTGTTAAAGTTAGAAGGAATCCTACTAAGTTAACGATTGCGCATGTCAGTAGAGAGAATCGCTCCTCTTGTAAGGGAGACCCACAAGAGCAACGCTGCTTAGCTAGTACTACCACTGCTTTCCTGTTGTCGAGACAGTTAATCTTAGAGGAAGGTGGGCAGCGGGATTTACCGTTAGGTCCAGTGCTGAACAGAACTGTATTTTCCATCGCAGCGAGACGCCAACCGCCTTAAAGTTGCGGGTGTTCCATTTATCACAGTGCCATAGTCTACAACTATTACTGCTACTGGCGTACATTGCTACTTTGTCATTTTGGTGTTTATGTTCTTGTTGCTTTTGATTGGTTCAGTCGAATCTCTATTAGTGTTTTTGATTGTTGTTATCATTTATTTTTCATATATCTCATGATTTGGTTGCTATTTCAGATTACTGACGTACGTAATTACTGTTTACTTGACTGAATGATGGTTGATTCGTTTATTCTGTTTCTTCTGTTTCTTGATGACGTTGACATGGATCGTTGAGGATGAAGTTGATTGGTTGATGATATTGATGGTGGTTGATGATAATGAATTGTTGATGGTCGATGAATTGATTTTTAGACTGGCCTTCTCTGTTAGCGGTACGAGTTTTCCCAACTTTTGATCGGACTCGTTGTAGCGTGTCAATAGCAATTTCCCACAAAGTAATTAGCGTGGCAGCATGCTTGAAAGTGCCTGTTTTGGCTACCTATTACATTGATACTGTTGACTTTGTTGTAGCTAAGAAGAAAAGACCGTTTTAAAGACATTTTTGCAACAACGACGGGAACAAGCATTGGTCTACCGACAAAAAGAAAGAAAGGAAAAACGAGGAAAAACGCAACGAAAATTCGAGAGAGCGTGTCGATTTGTCGCAGCAGGCAGTCCGTCATTCGGACAATACCGTGGCCTCTATTTTCGCTATATCCATAGCACTATCAGCCCTATCGCTGTCACACCGCCGTCCCGCAGATAGCTTCAGCATAGGGAATAGCTTAGCTTTGAGCGACATCCGTTCATCATGCAGTATAACTTGATTTGCCTGGCTAAGTGATATTCTCTGAACTCGCTTTTATCTCTATGGTGTGATCTGATATGACCATATTGTACAGCATTGTTACAATCCATTAGTTAGAACATAATCAACTCCACTGCATATCTATACATATGTATATATTTATAGATATCTCTTTATAATCGCAGTGTACATTGCCGTACCGCTTATTTAAGTAATAACTGAATCCAACGGAATCGTAAGTTTTTAGTTCAGAGAGGGAGGATCATAGAGGCGCTAGTTCAATTTCTGGGCGAGCTATTTTCGTCGCTTCCCATCTTCTTTAAGTTCGTAGTAATCAGATGCAACCAATACACCTTGTATACTCGGTAAAACTGTCTTTTTTGTAGTATAAGATAGTAAGATAATTATTGTGCGTTGTAATGACCGTGTTCCATTGCTCTTTGTTTCAATCCGTTGATCCTGCCCGTCTGATTTTAATCACGCTGGTTGGAAGCCCCACAGTCAGGCCGTGTGAACAAGCTGTTATATTTGTTGAGTGAGTAAAGTGCTTCACTCCCAGTTGATCCTATCGGCTTCGCTCAGCTTTTGCACGCCTGTGCGTTAGAGGCCTGCAACACCCAGCGGACAGCGCATACCCTCCTTGTGTCGTTTCGAACGCCCAGACCGGAGTTTTCATTACTCAGCGGCCTGCTGGTCAATCGCGCTTCATTCAACTACCTCATAACTCCTCCTTCTCACTCGTCAGCTGTCACTGCTGCTTCGTACATTTTCTCTTCCAAATATAATCATGACAATGTTTGACGATGAGGATGACTGGTATCCTATATTGTACATTTATTGAAGAGTACAGAACGGATTATTCTAGCTAGCCACATCGACAATGCCGTAACTCATTGTTGTTGATTGTGGTGACGTAAAGTCAGATGGCCAATTTTGATGGTTGGATAATAAAACTGGATGACATCCTGATAACGATCATTGACTGAGAGTTGCTTCTGACCAGCGGTCTCTGTTGACTGCCAGTAGTTTTATAATTCCGTTCAGCTTCCCCCCAACTGACGTGACTGGTTGATGACTGGCGTACGCTCATCCATATACACCTATCTATCTACCTATATATATATATATACGTCTGCCTGAACGCCTCAACCTTCCGGCTTCGCTTGGCCTATTCACTGTCGTCTCTCACCGTTTATATATCTATTCGTTCGTGCCTACCAAACCATCTCGTTATGTACATATCTTTTTCCACCTGCCTATCTTTCTCTCTCCCTCTCTCTCTCTCTTTTTCTGTCTGACCAGCCGCAACGCCAACTTCACCAATCAAAAAGCCCAAAATCCGAACAATCCAAACATACACTGCTCCGACTTTGTCATTCCGATTTCCAACCGTCCGAACCAACATCCCCAACCAAAAACCAAGTTTTCGATCAGCTTCTTCTGCCCCCGCAGGACCTCGGAACTGCAGATATGATACCGGACTTACCCTCGAGATATGGGCTGCTGCTGCTATTGGTGACGATGATAAATTAGCGAAAAGAATCCAAACGCCGTTACTGTTCGAAATACCGGTTATAGCCTGCAAACACAAAGTCCACTTACATAAAATTAAAAACAGTTCACGCGCGCTTGTCAGCCCAATGAAGTAGATTCAATAGCCGCACGCGGGTGGGTAAATCGTTGGACCATTATATTCTGCTGGCCTTCGCCTGGTTGTCTCGTAGAAGCCTCCGGATAAGTCTACCTATCGATTACACAACCTAAACCCTCAACATACTTACATCAATTAGGACATACGCAACCTGCTTTGCGTGTTCTTCTCTCTGTAAACTGACTTTTGTTTCTAATCAAAACGAAGACTTAAAGGAACACCAGAACAGGTACATCGTTAAATTTTAAATACAGCTAAGCTGAACGAAAGCCAGGATACCAGCTCATCACTAGAAACGGCAGATACTCGATAGTGATTTTTCCCTGTGTTTTTTCCACTCGTTCGCTCCTCTGGTTCCGTAATGTTCCCACTCTACAATGTGACGACTGGTGACTACTAGTGACTACGGCTAACATTAGCACTATACACCTAGCTTTGTTATTATGACTGTGTCGTCCTAATAATCTGATGTATGTTTTATATTTCTTCTACATGGCGGCTCCTTGACCGCGCCCTCGTCCCGCTTAAACGTGCAGCATCCTGGGAATGAATTTGTTCGGTGGAAAATTCTGTACCGTGGACACACCAACGGGGCAGCGCGTCTGTGATAGGAAAAACTTTGATACGTTACTCTGGGCGTTAGTCACCGTGTTTCAGGTACGCAGCCTCCCACATCGCCGCCTACCGCCTTACATTTGATCTCTTACGAAAAATGCTCTCCCAGTCATTCAAGTTCGTGAGTCACTTCGTATCTATACATCTTCATTAATAACAAACAAGCAACAGAAGAATGACAAAGTAAAGACCAAGCCGACAAAGAACATTCTACTCTATTCCTATTATTAATTGGAATTGGTTTCCTTTTTACTTGCTAACGATAAGCTAACCATTACAAATATTTACGCCTGCGTCAACTGAAGCATCCCTATCTATCTCATCCAAGCGTTCTACAAATACCTCATCCACTCTCACGGCCATCTTTACACTCTCTCATATCTAATCCACGAACACGGCCCGGCTCATGGCTATCACCGAGGAAGTAGACCGCAGTTACGCGGCCTTAAATCTCAATAGATATATTTGTCTGATCGCTCTAAATGCCGTCAATCACGGAGGATCATAGCAGAACCTGCTGCTATTCTGGATGCATCATTTAGTAACTTTGTAACAAGAAATTGTTATAGCTTACCCGAAAATATACAGCATGCAATGTATGTACGTGCAACGTACAAAAGCACTAAGTTGAACATTAAGGAATAGCTATTGAAAAATGTTAAATAGAATAAAAAAATATAAAATTAAAAACGCAAGTTAAAAACTAAAGCAAAAATATATTCATTACATTAAGGCAAACATATAATTTTATAGTTACAAAAAAATGAAGTGAATACAAGTATTATTTTTCGTTTGTGTATTTTATTGAGGCACTTCTACGTTTTAATGAAAACGTGAAGTCGCCATATTGACATTAGGTTTGGCAGTAACCCTGTCCTACGTGGTTGACGGCCAGTCAAACGATCTCATTAGTCGGCAACTTTTACCGGAAATGAGATGCCCTCACAAATGACAGACATTATGTCAGGTTCCTGGTTCTCGCATGCCCATTTCGGATCTGCTCTTCCTTTTCAACAGCCCTGTTTTCCTCCTTCTAGACATCGTTGTGTTCAGAACTGGACGCAGCGATAACGAACTAAGTAAATCAGTAAAAATACTATTAATTAATGGCTCACAACAGGACACCGTATATGTATTATAGTCAAAACGCCGCAGTTTTTACGGCTTCTTTTCGATAAGACGTTCCATAATTGAACTTACGTAGATGCCGAACGAATTATCAATTGAAAGAAACGCTTACATGGCACTAACCGTCACTAACTCAACATGAAACTTTCGCAAACCCCAATTCCGCCGTCAAGCGCCCCTTTTTTTCCACAAACGATTTTTTCCACAAACCTATGCCACGCTCGCACAGCAGTGGCCCATTTTCAGGACGACGAAACATAACATATGACAAAGAATTCAAACAGATGAAGAATATAAGACCCCCATCTAATGATCTATGACGCCTTCCATACATGCACAACCGTGGTCGTTAGGCGTTCTTACCCCATTGGTATATATTATTTGCTAATCCACCTGGCGTCGATGCACGAGGAGCTTAAAGCAACTTCACATGAGAAGACAGCTACAATCCGCAACAGTGGGGGGTTACCATTCATTTTAATGACGATGGTAGAGACGTGATTATTCAGCTGAGGCTGATCTCTGCTATGCTCAACAGAGTCAATCGAGGCAGTGTCGATATCTTCGTTTTGGTGTGTCGAGAATAAACGACGACCAACAAAGCCATGGCAGTCCGAAGTTCAACCTTTCAGGTCCGATGCAGTTACCAGGTCGTCTTATTGTTGCCACTGTTCCTATAATAGAGATCAGCAATGTGGTATGTTATCAGAGCGTTAGATCAGCTGCTTAGTCATAAACCACCATTGAGCAGCTACTAGTACAACCAGAGGTTATATAGCAACTCGTCTTCGTATAAACTACCTCAACCGTCTGTACTCTGTTCTTTCTCTATCATTTACCATCGATCTCTTACTCTGTGTCTTCCGCCCGAAACCATGATAATCGATCTTAACATTTCGTGTACCCAACCATCATTCGCCCCATCTGCGCACCCACTTTGCGCAGCGCCATGCAATGGTCGCTGCAGTTTGATACTTACAGAAAGTAGGTAACGACTATGTGCTGGTTGTGATAATGAGAGTGGGTCACTGTGCGGAGCTGACTGTATATTTAGTACATCGATTGATCAACTGACTCATAGACCTTTGCCATCGGGTCACACGCGCGACAGGTGGGGACGAGAACAGTAGGTGGCAAAGCAACGGAATATGTTGAATAGGACAAAAAGAATCAGCACTTGGCCGAACATATTGAACGTACACCGAGGCTGTGGCCACTGAAGCCGTTCATCTCTGGACGTTCACACCGTACAAAGAAGCTTAGCGAAGTACTATTATGAGAGTAAAATTAACCCTAGAGCTGAACGGCCAGTGGCCAGCTAGTGTAGCACTAAAATAGATCAGTCACGCACTAACCGGGATTGAGCAACTGAATCACTCCGCCGTCTGATCATTAGATGATCCATAACATCCACGAACTCTCAATCGATAGCTTTAGGTGCCTGATCAAACGAGTAGTTAGTCCATTGGTAACGCACATCTACACGGTAACATGTTGCCTGCTGGAGAAATCCCCATAGAAAACGTCTAACATATCCGGCCCCCTTTTTCTCCCTTTATTTTTTTCACTAATTGCTATCATTACTATACAGTAAATATCTACCTGCTATTCACTCCAACAAGTACATTTATAGGATGAATTTATATAATATCATATCGAAGGACAGAATTTGTTCTACCGTTTATGGTATGATCATAGACGTACTTTTTTCCTTTCTATATTCATTTCGGCTCTTGTTACATTTTTGCTATCTTCGAATCCACTATGTCCGTTTTAGCACCACTTTTTTTATCGTGATGTGCTAGCCTAATTCTATACATATTTTACTAGAGTTTTTAGAATACTTCTACTCTGTTTCCTTGTTTTCTCTCTCCCGCGTATTACTGGTCGGTGGTTGTGAACGGGCTCAATGGCGGTTCAATGAGAATGCTCAATCAGCTATAATCAGTATCTATAGTGTATTATCAATTGACTGCACTCTCGAATGCTGTTTGTTGATATGGCGATTGTCGTTGTCGTCGTTGCCGATTACATCGTTACCGTTTTGTATATATATATATATTAGTGTTGTCGTCTGCTACTGACCTACCATAATATTGTTGTTAAGCTTCTTGTCAGCCTGGCTTCTTCACGTCTCGATATTATTACTGTACTATATTGTCAATATAGATGTTGCTGTGTCTAATCCCTTGTACCTCTATCTTCCCCCGTTGTTCATTAGTATCGTCATTGTTTTTGTTAATGTTAAGCTTTCTTGTTAGTGTTGTTTATCACAATGAAGAAAATGATGATGATGATGCGGTTATTGTTGTTTACGTAGTGAATCTATGTCTACCGTTGACACGCGCTGTATGTCACTTTCAGAGAGTATCCTTTGTCATATAGCTGTTACATGCTGTCAGTGTTGTTTATGTTGTTACTGCTAGTGTTATGGGTGTTATCTTCGTTGTTATCATACCTGCGATTGCTGTTATATGGCGCTATCTATATCTGTGTCGCTGTTGTTGCGGTCTTGACTATTGAGTTGATTGATTACATTTCCTTCACGAGGTCTCGCTGTTCGATTGCGCCACTGCAGCTGCTGTCGCGAGCCGTTGTCTCCGTAGGGGGCAACACCCGACGATTAGATTAGCCCCCGTGATCACTACTGCATCAGCGCACAAGCGATTCCCTACAAACAAACTCAGTGTTTCACACATTACGCCGATGAAATTGATGCTATAATCGCTTTAGGTCGTTTGTTGTTTTTGCCTTTTTTTTATGTTTTATTTAACGAATTTTTTCTATTATTTTTTTCAGTTTATGTCCCCATATCTGTTTATCTCTCATTGAGGCCTTTTTCATTCCTCGGTTTATAAACAATAGCTCGAATCTAGCTGTTGCTTTTCGTCGTCTTCCCTGATCCTAGAAATATAATAGTTGTGCTCGACGTGACACTAAACGAATGTGGAGGGATAAATGGCTGAACGAGAGAGTGCGTGGCCCATTTTTTAACCATACTACAACCGTTTTCGCCGGAGAGGAAGTTACTGGCAAAAGGGAACACTGCTGTTCGATACGGTTTTACTAGAGACCTCCATTTGCCGCACCTCATGTGGGGCACAGGAGAAATGGTGTGGCTGCGTACAGGAGTAGAATGAGGTGCGTTTTTTCACTGATGTTGAAAATTCTGCCGCTGTTATGACTTTTTTCTTCGTTTTTTTTTTCTTTTTTTTTTACTATAACAAAAATGTCTACCGGCAACCACAACTACGTTAGCTATACGTTACGTATCACAGTTGACAACGTTACGACAGATCGTCATTACCATTCGATTTATCGTAGTCCAGATTCACAATAGCTACCACTCATCCACGAAGTGTATGAACTGTACAATAAGATGCTATTTACGCGTCTTGTGTACGTGTGTCGTCAACGTATAGCCCGACATTATACCCAGAGGCTCATGTGTAGCAAGCATCGTTTACTGGTCGATGTCAGATTTTTAGAACGGACACGACTCTACTTTCTCGTTTTGTTTCTGTCGTACCCACATCTGCATTAGTATTTGTCTACCAAAGCTCAACAAAATTCTTCTATATATATTAAGTCTACTGGGACCTATCTATCAGATCTATTGGGTCGTCACAGCTATGACTGAAGTTTTCATTTGTACCTGCAGATTCAAAGATCATGCCGTTTGAACTTCAATTGGAAAGGAGGGCCGGTTTGAAGTATAGATGCAATAGCCTATTTTGTGCAAGTTTCAATTTCTGAGTTACAGTAAAAAGAGAAAAAAAAAAACGTAACACACAAAAAAAAGATGTCGCCGGAAGACGATGTTGCCCAGTTTACAATTAGCAGCTTTCCCAAATTGACATGCAAATCTCGCCCGATTAGTTATAACGCAAAGATGGGCAAATTCAAAATAAAAAACAAGTCAATATAGCAGATGTTTAGTTCTCACTGAGATGATACTTCGTCACTCTTGTAATTTATTGTGACGACAGAAGAACATGACCCGCTCGATGTGTTGTTGGACGTGACATCTAGAAAATAGATAACTTTAGAGCAGATTTAGACACGAGGATGTGATGGACAGTAGAACAGGGAAAAAATCTCTAAGAGTAATAAGATTAAAATGAGTAACATACCGCGATACGATTGGACCGCGTTTCGGTAAAGGAAAACGTACTGTTTGTCTATGCTTGTTAAGTGAAAGCGGGCTTTGTTTTTTGGCCATCGCCAGCTTCGAATATGCCCTGCAGTTTTATGTATAGCCTACGCCTCAAGTAGTTCGAGTTGGTAAAAATCGCTAATATCAAACATAGCTCTGCAATTTATGTATGTGCGTTAATAGAGATAAATGTCTCACTGTTCTATATGTGGTATAATCCAGCAGACTGGAATGGTGATACGATATGTGTTTTGTTTAGTAGTGCAGCCGTAAGTCATATTATTGGCTTCTGTCACAGCTTTTTGGCTAGAAGCGTGTAAGGGTTAATTGACCATGGTTCATTTTTGCTTTTTTAGAATATCAGAAGGCACATTTTTTAAATGATAAATTAAATATAATGCCTAAATTATTTTACGTTCTCAGATGCATGTAAGTTAGATAGAGTGAACTACTAATAATGATTGTTAACGTTTCGAGGACGTTTTCATACAGCAGAAGGAAAACGATGTTTTAGTTATATCAGATTTTTATTTATTTCGACTCGTGACGAAATCCTTTATAAGTGATGCAAATAACAAGAAATCGTTAAAGTGATCAGAGATCCCGCTACAAAAACGTGCGACCAAGCGGTCATGCCAGTTGTTACTGGATCAGAATAACGTAAAGCTACAATGTAATTAATAGACAAATTGAGCGACTGGTTGAACTCAGATCCGAGTCGAGGAAAGGAAGGGTCGTAGTTCACGAAACAGAACTCTAATCAGAAGAAGGACAAAATCGAGACTAAGCAATAATATAATCAATTTTTGAACTGCCATTATCAGAAGGTCTTTTCTCGTTCCCCTCTGGCAGGATCCCTTAAATGATCTGAAAGATAATCGAAAGTGCAGTTGACTTTAAAAGCGTATTGTTATAATGATCGTAGTCTATTTAGTCAGAATGGTGATCGATTGATTGGCAATAATCGATCTATCGATACTGATCGATTGATATAAAAAAGAACAACGATCTTCTGCTATAGACAACGATCTGTATCTATGAGCGGACTGATAACTGACCGCCATGTCCTAGTATATGGTAGTGTTCACGCAAATGTATTTGCTGGCGATTGAGCTTACTGATTTATATTGATGGTTGAATGATTGACCGCAACGATCTGGCGAACTCGTTGGTGGCGGGTTCACGAGCGATGGTGAAGCGTCGCAGCCGGGCCTTGTGGTTTCTGGGTCGTGGCTCGGTGCGATGATCTGACGACACCACCGCTGACGGTGTTAATCGTATTCTGCTATTGTTGTTTCTTCGTATGCCGTGTCTCCTTGGTCGTTCCCACCGGTCGATGATACGATGATGGTGATTGATGATGATCGCAGCTGCCTAGGTATGCACTTGTTTGGTGGTAAGTTCTGTCAGAAGGCAGACGGCAGCCTGTGCACTTGCCAAGATCTCGCAGACACCTCCATCGACTGCCAGTGTGATCGAAAACACTTTAACTCGTTCTTATGGGCGACCGTGACCGTATTCCAGGTATGTGCTTACGAATTGCGCTCTTGGTTGCTGCTGTACACTGATACACATACAAGACAAAAACAACAAGCCGTTTAGAACGAAAGCGGCTACCTGATTCTGCACCCCATCTTCCGCCCCAACTTCCCAACAGGTGTTGAGGCCCAAACATCTTATGAACTATATAATACCACCATTAGTCTACTGTTATGTTCGTAAACTCGTCTCAACCCTCCATTATCGCTTATCTTGCTTCTGTACTACGTTATGCCCACTATCTGACGAATACCTTCCCTCACCTGCACTACAATTTCTGGATGTGGTCATTTAGCATAATTAGGAGTTAAACAGCCGTTGTGCTCTACAATGAAGTGATATTTTTGACCTCAGTCGACACCCCCCATTACCTGATAATCGAACCCCCATGTGTGGCGGCTGCATATGGGCAATAGAGACATAGAGAGGCGAGAATCGATTGTCAGGAAATCACGGTAAGATCTTCAGTACCTACACAGCTTAACCGGTGATGGTATGTGCGCTTGATGTATCCGAGACACTTCAAAATGACCATTAATAATACCGAATTATTCTTTCCCTATCAAAGTGGCGGTTAGTGTTAGATTTCACCCTAGTAAGAGGAACTCTTCAAATATTTTGGAGATACTATTGTACTGAAAGGATAAAAAACGAAAACGTTCGGCGTCCTCCGCGCACCCCTGAATCCTGCATGCCTGTCGTTGATGAACTCGCACCTGTCGACAAGCAGGCGCTAGGGTCTCATCAGCACAATTGCGTATAGTGACTTAGCACTCACTTCATTTGCTCAATGGTGGGGTCGCAGATCTTGACACAAGAGGATTGGAATATCGTCCTTTTTAATGGAATGGAGAAGACGAGCCCGTGGGCCGCGCTGTATTTCGTCGCCTTGATGACGTTCGGCAACTACGTACTCTTCAACCTTTTGGTAGCCATTCTCGTGGAGGGATTTGCCGCCGAGGGTGAACGCAAGCGGAGTATGGAAGCTCTTGCAAATGCCGAAAACCAACAAAAAGTCATCGAAGAAACCAACCTTGACTTTGACTGCAAGGTAAGTCAAACTATATTTTGAGATTATTTCATTCACGTTGAGCCTACCGAAGAATAGACTCCGTAACGACCGGCTTAAAGAAGCAGTGTACTATTAGTTGCGCCGTGCGCCCGTAGTTAATGTAGGAAATGATTACGTTATCTGTAAACAGTAGCCTTGTCAAGCTGCATCTCTCAGTCTGGGCTCAAGATTCCGGAAAGCAGACTCTGTACACTGTTCACTAAAGGCGTTCATTTCTATGAAAGTTTACATCATTAGTTTTCAAATTAGTGTAACGTCTCTAACAAACGCTCATATAAAGCGGGATTCCTTCCCTAACGCTAAACGCGACTCACTATGTCCACCAGACGAAATATCTTTAGCTATTTCCTGATGATGAGACTAGCGTCTAGTCACAACCAAATACCACATAACGATTAACTGGCGTCGCAGGTCATTGAGGAAGAGGACATAAGTAAAAACAACTTATGTAGGGAACGGCGGCTCCAGTGTCCTATTATAACTCGCACTGCCGCGACGCCTCAAGGAAGCCCGAACACTACGTGTATAGAGTTGCCACTCATGACGCTCACTACTGAATCCATCGATTCAATTGATCGCAGCGTAAGTTCCAACAAACTGCTCAGTTAGATCGGTAGTCGTAATCATCTTGCTCGAGTTTTTATTGTTGCACTTTCATTTCAAGTTCAACATACTATTGCACAGGTATGCATAGTTCGCTTCCTAGTTTTAATGATCTGTTTGTACTAAAAGTGTTACTGTTTAAGGTATTCCTGATAAGCGATCAAGTGTAACACTGTGTTTTTGCTTTCCGCCACTTTTACATTCTGATTCGAATACTCTTCCTATCTCTTGCTCTACTATCCTATCTTGTTTGGCATCTCTCGCTTGCACTTTTTCGCTTTTCAAAAGATCTCAGATGCACCAGTATCCCCGCTGTCTTTGGGACCAGAGCGGGCGTTCCCGCCAGGGCCCTTGTCGCCAAACACGTGTACTCTACAGGTGCCCGGCGAATTCTTCAGCAGAAACAATGGCTCGAGCTCGCGGCGACGCCGAAGGAGCTGTGTGAGTCCCGTCAACGTGGCGCATGCTTTTCGTAAGGTACGTTGCACGCCAGTATTAGTCCCAACAGATTGCTCTATATTAGAAACTTAAAATCGGAGGACATAATATGTCGTCACTGGGTGTTCAAGTTAAAAATTAGAATGAGCGAAAAACTGAACCAGTAGCTTAGATCAGGAATGCGCCAATAAAAAAAGCATCAATATAATTCTACCGATTAGACGTTGAATTGCAACATCAATTGATCAGAACTTAAGCATGACTTCTGTTTTAGCTTTTAGCTAGAATAAGTATTATATACATATATCTACGATATATGAATATCCGTCAGGTACCACTACGAAAATAGCGAATATTTGAAGCTGTTGCTCTAATATCATTAGACAGTGTAGAAAGATGATTTTCCCCACCACCAAGTGAAAACTCAAGCGAAGTTGCACACCGACCGGTCAGGCCTCTTCACAGTTTCTTTGCTGTTGCTGCGAGCCCTGCTCCTCCTAACATTCTTTAATCATTTACCCGGCACTTGGCTATTGGCAGACTATGCGTTCCGCACTAGACCAACTGTTAACCGTCCAGCACTATGTCCTTTAATTTGTCCTGATCCGCGCACATCACACAGGTTCGTGCGTTGACTCTATCCAGTTCCGTGTTGAATTTAAGTGAATCGAGTAACTCCATACGGCATTTGAACTTAAACTGTCTTGATAGCACCGGAGCTTTACGTTGACGTAGTTTTTCCGACCCACTTCAACGTATGACATGCACCCAACAAGGCAGTTTAATAGAAACGTAAAATGTCGTGTCCAGTATATTGTCCCCACCATCGAACCGCGCCACCCAATCAAATTATCCAACTCTAATTAGCCTCACAAGTAATACCTCTGCGCATCACGAGGCACCGTCTCACCTATCATTGCAGTTGCCCAGAACACGCATGAATGGTCGAGGCACGATGACAAGCTTGTTCTTCCCTTTACTGTTCCGCACCAGTATCGACGACAACACGCTTGTTTTTTTTCATGACGCAACATTGAATCAAGCAACAATTACCGCCACTAGTAGACGAACAGAAAGAAACTACGAAAGGCTGACAACATATCTGCTGAGACCACAAACGCTATTCCTGTTTATCTTCTTTTTGTCCATCTATCTATCGTGTCCATGAATTTCTGCCACCACCTTCTCGAGCAAACTAAAACACATAGTAGTGATAAGAATCTAAGTTGGAAACAACCATAATCTTAGTATGCAGCTATCATATGTACATAATTTGATCTATCATGTACGGTCAGCAAGTATCGGCCAGGAACGAGCACCACCAAAGTAATAAACATCTAAACAAAGATTATTCTAGGAATAAGTCATACCTCCCTGTTACCAATCAATCGATTCTCCATGCCCAACCAATACCAACCCATACAAATCCTGCAACGAAATGTGCATCTTCTGCAATCATTTGCAATTGTAACCAAATCAATCATACGTCACGTCCAACCCGAATCGTGATCGACTGTTATCAATCATCCAAACAACCACCGTGGATGCCGTCCGCCTGTCCGTTCCGTTGAGACCTGTTTGCTGCGCGGTTGCTGTGCGCTTGGCTTCTAATGGGGACGCTCACACGCCTATCCCGGCCATCCTATGCGTGCCTGTGTGGTGGCGTGTGCGCGCCACCTGCCGCCCGATTGTGCAGAGCGAGTGCTGGACCTCGCAAGCATCCGCGGCGTGCCCAGCTTCGCAGGCATTCGGCTTCACCACTGCTTCGCCGCCCCTGGCGTCCCCGAAGTCTCAAGTCCTGATTCGGCCCGGCTTACCCGTATTATTCGATCGCAACCAGGCTTCAGTAACATCAGCTGGTGACCCTTCCCTGGTGCCGTTGGACGGCGCCTCACCACTCGGATCTCATCCACAGCTGTGCGCCTCGACGCGAACAACAACAGCAGTCACGGCGATGACACCTGCTACCGGAGGCTTTCCATTACTGCCACCACCCATTGGCCAGTCGCAGTCCGCCCACATGAGTCCATGTCCCAGTCTGTTGCCGAGTCCACTGCCGTTGACGCTGCCACCACTGCCAAAAGGCGCATCGGCCGCTAAAGCCAAGTAAGTGTCGGTATATGTATGTTTGGTCTATATGTGGGCTTAGAGAATTTTTCTTTTTCACTAACGTCGAACGTATAGCTATGATAACGTGAGGTTGAATCGACAATTTCTAGCTCCGAGTAAATCTGCTGAGTTCTAGTGATAACAAGTAGTTTTCTTAGAAACACTTTTCCTATCATAACGGAGTCTGATAAGAGTGCTGGCTGAATAATTGGAGCAATTGGTAAGACACATAACACCAACCAAGAAGCCAAGGTCACAGGTTGACATGTGTGTGACGAAGTGATTGGAACCTACTTTCTAAAAATAAAGGCCTTTCATACCTTTCTCGTATCGAATGAAATATTTTGCAAGCATTCCCACCTGCCTACCAGCCTGACCGCACATGACCGTTCATCTTTCGTAGGACCTTTTTTTTCATATATGACGTGTATGCAATAGCATTAATCATAGCACCTTGAATCAATAATGACGATACGAAAATAACATAAGAGCTAAACCGCAACGGCATGCTAGGTGGAGAAATAATGATAGTAATAATGTGTAAATGTAACAAATATTGGTGGCAGTATACCTGGTCCGTTTTAGTAATCCGCTGAAAGTAGCTTCATAAAGTTGCGTTATTTTTCGAATGAATAAAAAATGGCGCGCGCTATTCTCATGTATGACCTCTGTGATCCTGTTCTCAGTAAAACACTAAATAATCAAAAAAGCGCCCCACATTCAGCGCCAAAGCAGCTGGTGTTGACAAAGAATGATACAGGCAGTCCAGCTAGTCGACTGCAAGGACTCCAAGGCAACGCCGTTGTGATCTCACCGAAGCTGAGCCGTGAGAGCTCACTGAAGAAAAATAACGTCGACATTGACAGTAAAACTGCAAGCGAAGGCATTATGAAGAAACAGGTTAGTATAATAGGCAGCATCTCAGTTTTCTTTTAAAGACTGCAAACACGCCCCGGAGAGCTCTGTAATTATTTAGTGCAGTAGAACTCAAGAAAGAGGTGTTTCGTCATATTGTAAGAACGTGTGTTCATCAGATGTACAAGCAAATGTATTTTTCAAGTCGTAGCTCGATACATATTATAAGGATTTGTTGTTTTTTTGCCACTTGTCAATTAGTTGACGTTCGCTTATGCATGTGACTGATTCACTTCCTTTACGGTCAGTGTTTTACCTGAAGAAAAAAATTTCTGCTATATTAGTCACGGATCAACTGAGGTAGAATTAACCGAAACGAATGAAAGCGCTACAATGAAATGCTGGAAAATAAATACTCGTCAAAGTATCGCGGCTACGTGATACATAAAGGAAAATTCGTAGACGTCGAAGGCGGCACAGTCTAAGTGGTGCGCCGAAAAAGAACCTCGACGTACTTCGAAATAATTGAAGCGTGACCGTATCTTTAACAGTACAACCTACAAATGTTTTAAAAGGCTAAGAACGGTTTTTGATGGTCTCTTCAATGCCGAATTAATAGGGCGACCTCGCAGCTGAGCAGCCGTACTTAAGCTGCCCAACGCATGTTAGATATTTGCTAATATCATAATAATGTATACAAATCATTGAGCGACGCTTTTTAGGTTTCTCTTGTTTGGTATTAACAGCAGGGCTTTTTCATCTTACTTGTGACAGAAGACGCCATATCAATAAAGTTCAAAGTGTACATATGTTAAAATTTTGTTATTCAAACAGCGTAGCTGTTTTAACTTTGGCTAGGTTAGCTAGTTGTTCAAGCTCCGCAATTGACACGTACTACATGAAACATATGGTTAAGTAAAGAATATGTTTGTTAGTTAATTTGTCTATGTTTCATTACTGCTGAACGCCAGAATGCCTCGTAATTTATGCGCATTTCTTAGTTGAACGCCGATTTAGAAGGAAGTATCGGTATCGGAGGCCAGGATATCCAGATGAAGGTAATTGGCAATTCGGGGAAGGTAGTCGCCTTCACTCAACCACCGTTATTGCCCCCCCCTCCCCTACCCAAGGTTGGTATTTCTTTTACATAGATATTCTGATTGAGAAAATTGGTAGCGTAAAGATAGCTCAGATAGCGTTTTATTATCGGTATATTTATTTCTGTGTATCTGATATAGCGAAACATATTCTGAGGTGACTTTTAACGGTCCCAGATTAAAGCTCAGCAGTCGAACCCATTATTAATGCGATAAGTATCTTTTAAGAGCGATTCAATAGAAACTAAAACACCAAATTTAAAGTTGCTCAGTCACTAGGCGCAAGCGCTTACTATAATTGAAACATTCTCAACCGATGCCCCCAACCTGACTTGGAATATATTTGTCTGTTTAAAACAAATGATGCTTGCATGTACGGTAGGATGAGCCTGCTGTGGAAGAAATTCTCATTTCGGTCAAAGCAATACCTATTTTCTACGTATCTGTCCTCTGAGTAATATCGTGTAACTCTACAGTGAGAATTTTCTGAAACAGAACATTTCATTTAGCTTGTCTAAGCCCCATCAACGTGCTATCATACAGAACGGGTGCAGACGTAGCCGGCGTTGTCCTTACTCAATGATAATAATAATATGGTGATGATGATGTTTTTTTTATAGCTGTTCGGCCTGTTCGAACCTCGATGGTGTTTTAGAAACAAGGAAGACTACTCATTATTTGTATTTTCACCGACAAACGCTATTCGCGTATTGTGCGTACGATTGTCAGACTCGAAGTCGTTTGACTATACCATACTTGTATTCATCGCCTCAAACTGTATTACGCTAGCGATGGAACGGCCTAACATCCCGCCGTCAAGCCTCGAGCGACAGATATTAGCTGCAGCTAATTACACGTTTACCGTCGTGTTCGCCTTCGAAATGGTTGTCAAGGTAACAAACTCCGCGGTCTTAAACGATAACACGGTAGAGCTGTAACAGATGCATTATCAGAGCACGCGAACTAGCATCAATGATAAAAGTAGCACTATTATCGTCGTCATAATCTATATATGACAGCTAGAAATACATAAACGGTAAATCGTTTCAAAGCAACACAAGTTTTCTTCACATAATATTAACAATTACATATAGTCATCTTTGGTAGTCCGCTAAGGTCCGCATGTCTATACTAGGGAGTCTAAACGACCCAGCTAACCTAGAGTCAGATGCCAACTGAGCATACGGGCATGTCTCGCAAGAATCACGGATATTTAATGTACATACAATATACCTTAGTTCTCTAAGTGTGTAGTGTTAGTTTACTTCAACTACACCGGTGACTCAGTTAATTATTGATAATGTCTTTTTGACGTTCGATCGAAGAGTCATTATTTCTGGTTTTGGTAGGTGGCTGCGGTGCTAGCGGCTTTTCGACCCAACTCGGAAACATAAACAATGTTCTATTAGGGGAATCAAAAGCACCTTGCTTCAATAGCATTTGTAGTGTATGGTATTAAGGTTTACGTACGAACAGTTACCGTAGTTTCTATTTTTTTTTCCCTTACACTCTGTCATATATGGCAAAGCCATCTGAGCTATGCTGGACTTCAACCTCGTTGCTTACTTCTGCTTTCAGAGCAGTAGAACTTGACTTCTAAAGATTTCGTTGCTTATGCAGCACAACTTCGGCGCTGCCACTCGCATAAATGATGGAGTGAAGGTCGTTCAGCGCTAGCCCTGATTCAGGCGTTTGTCCTTCTGTGCAATAACCTTAAACATTAGAGCCTTCATTATCCAAAAGATTAGGATCACTGTTTGTAATAGCCGTAGTAAACAACTTAGGTGGTACATCACTAAAAGGAGGTTGAAATGAAAGCCGCTGAACTACCCTAGAAGTATTACCGACTTCCACCCGATAAAAACACAATGATATTACGAAACAAAAAACCCGTTGGCTGGCTGACCATGGCTGAAGGCTTGGAGCCACAGAACCGAAACGGCCTTGGTTGCCCGAACGAATGTAGTCGTTACCGAACAGATTATCAAACTGAAGCGTAATTTACAATAACCTATTAGCTACCACGTATGTATCATATGGATAGGGTCGTTTGTTGTTGCACAGTGTAGCATAAACATATTACGACGGGCAGATTTAAGAACATTGTCGATCTGCTCTCAAGTGTGTGGCCAAAACATGCCCGTGTAGTCGATATGATGTGTAGAGATCAACAGGAAATCATCTCTAGGTTTAGATGGATAGAAAAACCTGGTGCGGCAGATCGTTTATTCCGTTTTGTCATGATGTGCTGCAATTCTTTCCTTGATCCAGGTGATCGCCAAAGGATTGTGGTACGGGCCTCATGCATACCTCAAGAGCGGATGGAACAAGATGGACGGAATGCTTGTCTCAATTTCGCTCATAGATTTTATGCTCACCATCGTCGCAGATGGAGGACCCCGCATTTTCGGTACGCTCAATCCAAACTGACATGCGTTTTTCTCATCCAGAGAGCTCCGAGTATTATGTAGCCCGTAAATGGTTGACTAAAAGTGAGGCATTTTTTGTTGCTAGAGCGCCTATTTCACAAACATATTCAATGAAACTAGAAGACAGATACAAGACAGGGTAGGTTCATTCTCGTTCTTTCAGGACAATGTTTTAGAAATTCGGTAAGCGAGCAGCTCGAAGCGATGTTGTAAACAATATATTATAGGGTTTTAACTAGGTTGTCACGGAGGAGACGGACTGTTTCTAGTATGTTGTTATGAGATAATAATTTTTTTCAGTTTATATACATTTTTACAACTAATATTGAAACAACCAATACTACGTAGAATTTTTTTTTAAGATACGATTTTATCCACATCCCACTGTTTCAGTCTCTTCTTCTATCCTTCTGTTTTTTTATCGTACACGAAACCTATTTCTCCGAGTGTGATAAAATCAAAGTGTATTTTCTGTTGAGAATATCAGCTTGGTTTTCCAGCTAGAAATAATGATGCTAGGCACCAGCGAAAGCCATTTCTAGCCAAAAATTATATTGTTTTTGCATGTAGAAATTAGCTATTGCGTGAAACGCCGCATGTTGGACCCTTGACGATTACCATAAACATTCGTTATCATCGATTCTTTCGGTTTACCGCATTACAGATTATACACCGATACGAATACGATTCATTCTCTCATAAAAACAGGCAGCGCGATCTTTTCGGAGCTTCGCACTTGATGAAAGTAAAAACTTCGTTTTACGAAGAAGCACACTTTGACTTTACGCTGTTAGCTATGAGCACATGCCAATACTTTTTTATGTCCCTACGCTTGGTTTTGTAACATCTTATAGTCATCCTAAATCAGTCTGTCCAGTAACCTATAAAAATACGTGGTTAGCTTGGCATAACAGTCAGGCTCTGCCAGATGATGGGTATGAATAAAAGGCAAAGTGTGATCGGCTGCCATTTTCTAAAACAAATATAGGCGCCAGCACACGTTCAGTTACTGACTGCTTGAATATTTAAGCGGCAATCTAGTGGCAGATAAGAGCTTCCTATGACACAACGAAAGACTATGTATATATACAAGCGGCTGACTGCTTACGGGCAGTCAATTATGAGTACATGTTCAACATACTGTCTGTAAAGCACAAAGGGCATGAGAAACTTGCTCTAAATATCCTAACTATTATTATTGATAACGTTTAGGAATTCTCCGGGTGTTTCGCCTTCTGCGCTCCCTTCGGCCCCTGCGTGTGATCAACCGAGCACCGGGATTGAAACTTGTCGTGCAGACACTTATGTCTTCACTGAGGCCTATCGGAAACATCGTCCTCATATGCTGCACGTTTTTTATCATTTTTGGCATCTTAGGTGTACAGTTATTTAAAGGTGAGACTTGATTTAATTTCTTTTTCAAATAACAATTGCAATTACGCCGTGAATTTTGCTAAGATGATCAGTATTACACCATAGTGCGATGCAGTGGCTTACTACCCTGTAAACACGTACCGAACATATCCGGTAAACATACCCGAACTGTAAGAGTAAAGTTTTCAAAAATGAATGAGAATCATTATTATCATCGTTTTCAAAGGAAACTTACATAGGTGTTTTACGGAAAAAAATTGCCTGTTTTTTAATGGAAATAATTTTTTTTTAGCCAAACATCTGACGCCTCTACATTAGAAATTGAACTTTACGTTTACCTATTAATTCTTCTATGTATTGAAATATGAGGTAAGTGTTTTCGTTTGGCTTGTTTTGTTTTAATTAAATACACGTATTGCAGGATCATTCTACTATTGTGAAGGACCAGATGTAAAGGACGTAATGAATAGAGCACAGTGTGAGGAGAAACCCGGGTATCAGTGGGTCAACCGAAAGTACAACTTCGACAACCTCGGACAAGCGCTTATGGCGTTATTTGTGTTGTCTTCCAAAGTACGTTTGCTCGCGTGTTTCGACATCGAAGAATTTCAATTTGTTCTACAGAGCGTTTTTTTTTACCGTCCAGTCGTCTCTGAGATTTGTTCAGATACATTTGTTTATTCTCTGGCGTTAATTTGATAATAACTGATTATCCTCTGATCGATAATTAAATCTGCTAATATGTTACCTTGTAAATGTAAATAGAACACGGTGGTCCAATTACTCGGTGTGATGCTACTTACGCAATCCTTTGATTAAATCGGGCTACTTATTGTTCATTTCCTGTTCATGGTCACAACTAATCTCCGGTTCCGACATTTTATGAAAAATGTATATTATAGGCAAGTACTTTGCACTCATTTTCGCTGATATCATTCAGTCCTATATAACAAATATAACAGTTGTCGGAACGCTCATTTTATTGACCTTGACATAAGCAATGCATATGAAGAACACGTGCTTGTTAGGCTAAATATCCGTACTCATTTTTCTTGTGTTGTCACAGGATGGCTGGGTAGACATCATGTACTCAGGCCTCGACGCAGTGGGCGAGGATCTTCAACCGATAGAAAACTTCAACGAATGGCGGCTCTTATACTTTATCTCTTTTCTCCTACTCGTGGCCTTTTTTGTGCTCAACATGTTCGTGGGAGTAGTTGTTGAAAACTTCCACAGGTGCCGCGAAGAACAGGAGCGTGAGGAGAGAGCTTTGCGAGCTGCCGAACGGGCACGCAAACTTGAGAAGCGTCGAAGACGTAAGCAGCGCACGTTAGCAATTCTAATATTTCTTTATTGGATATAGCAGCCACTTTAATCGCTCTAGAGATTCCAAAGACATCACAATGCCTCTGTTGAGCAAAAGTTATTGAGCGTCGAATATTGGAGCACGTCCTTATCACTCCATAGTTGAAAAAACAACAACTGTCATAAACGAAGTTATTTTTTGCAATTATAGGGTATTTATGTGATGCTGCTATTACAATATAGCTAAAATTAATCGTAAATGTGGATGATCAATGTTAGCCGTATCTATATAGACCTGGATTAAAGCTATTATAACGTGGAAACTTATCGTTGTTGCACTTTATTTCCTTACTCTACTCTGTCGAATGCGACGATATACAGAACTTCGTGAGCCGCCCTATTACGCCACTTACTCGCCCGGCCGACTATTTACTCACAATATGGTGACGTCGAAATACTTCGATCTCGCCATCGCGGCTGTCATTGGCCTCAACGTTGTCACAATGGCACTTGAATTCTACCAGATGCCACTCGAGCTTGAATATGCTCTAAAGATTTTTAACTACTTCTTCACTGCCGTCTTTATTCTCGAGCTGGCTATGAAACTCATCGCTTTGGGGGCTCCTCGATATTTGATGGATAAATGGAATCAGCTTGACGTTGTCATTGTAATATTATCTATCATGGGTAAGTACTTTATCAGTAAATGCCATAGAATCTTTTATTGATTTTTTTTTAGGACTTCTTAGCTTAGCCGAATTACACTCAAACCCGTTTAAATGGTCAGCAACGGAATTTAGATTGACATATAACTACATATTTACCTTAATTTTAACCATTCATCAAGGGTTAGATGCAACCTTACCCGTTTGTACTTGCTGGTCTGTTAATGATGTTAATAAATCTCGTCGGCAGGTATCGTTCTAGAGGAAATGAAGAGTGGCTTCATCCCGATTAACCCGACGATCATACGGGTCATGCGTGTGTTACGAATCGCGCGCGTCCTGAAACTCCTCAAGATGGCGGATGGAATACGAGCTCTGCTGGACACCGTCATGCAGGCACTGCCACAAGTCGGCAACCTGGGTCTGCTATTCTTCCTGCTGTTCTTCATATTTGCAGCGTTGGGTGTTGAACTTTTTGGTAGATTGGAGTGTAATGACGAATTTCCCTGCCAAGGATTAGGAGAGCATGCGCATTTTCATAATTTTGGTAAGTCCTGTTACAAGCAAGTGGTGTAGTGGAGACTCTGTCCATATATACAGCCTACATGTGTACGCGCTTATAAAATTTACATTATATACAGTATATACTATTTTCCGTTATCATCTATCATTCCGTTCTAATCATTATTTTTATAATGATTAGTTATGTTATGAGGAACTTCCTGAACCATAGGAAGGGCATAAGATTTTTCAAATTACTTTTTAAATTTTATATTATTCTAAGTTACTATATTTATATATAAGTTAATATATTTCTTGAATGCAATCTTCTTCAGTCTATCTCGGGGAAACAAAAGCATAGTTAGGTGAAGTCAGCTAAAAAGGGAAAGAGATAAATAAGGGTAGAGCTTTTTCCGATAAAAAGGTTTTGGATTATTTACCGTCTTTGAATGGCTAAAATTTTACTGACAACCGGTAAAATGATCATAAAAATTTGCATTTTTATAAAGCATAAAAACAAGAAGCTGGTAAAAACAGAAAATTCGCGTTCAGAGGAGCCGGAGTTAACTTCAAGAGATGCTGCTACCGCGAAGATTACGAAAGCCATATTTTACAAACTTAAATTAAAAAAGTAGTTCAAGTCCGGCAGCAGATCTAATATAAAGCAAATGAATTAATGCTATGATTTACTCTCTATATAAAAAAAAAAAGTCGACTTCTGTGATTCCAGACAAGGTAGGTTCAGGTCCTTTCGTGCGGAAACGTTTCGTATAACGTATTGACTGAAATATCAGTCTACGTATACGTGTATATGTCACAAATACATTCGTTATATTAGATTAGTTTAACACTGCGCTACAGAACATACCTTCTATACAATATTCGTAGAACAATTTAAGTTTGCTTTGGAAATGTGATATAGTTCTGTGTAGGTTCCCTGTTTTGAATGCGGGGATGTTAAATTCGTCTTTTTTATGGGCCCTTGCTTGCTATAATAGTGCGGGAAAAGATAACCAGTTTCTAGCCTTCCGTTTTTTTCAATGGAACATTTGATGCATACATGCTAAGAGACAAAAAAAATGCCGATTATTTCATTCGTGTAACGCCGGTGCGACTCTATATTTAATATTGAACAGGTATGGCATTTCTAACGCTGTTCCGTGTAGCTACGGGAGACAACTGGAATGGAATCATGAAGGATACTTTGCGGGACAAATGCGACGCGGCGTCCGATTGCGTAAGGAACTGCTGCGTGTCGCCTGTCATCGCCCCGTTGTACTTCGTCATCTTTGTCCTCATGGCGCAGTTTGTCTTGGTTAATGTGGTCGTCGCCGTGCTCATGAAGCATCTTGAAGAGTCCCATAAGCAACAGGACGACGATCTTGAAATGGAGGTTCGTATTCACTTATTAAGTTAAATCCATTTTTCATCTAGGCAGCGTTTCCCGATATATCTACGGGTGACTATTAACACCTGTCTGGAATTATGAACGCGAACCGGTATTCTACATGTATCGTATCGGAATCATTTCAGGCGGAATTACTAGAAGAGGAGCTTGAACGCCAAATGGCCGCAGCGACTGCAGTAGCTCGTCAGCAGCAAGCCGCTGCCGCGGCCGCTTTTCAGCAGCAACAGCATAGGCCGATCATCAAGATGTCATCATTACCTTCGAATTTTGTCTTCTACTTCGCTTCCGATAACAACAGCAGCAACAGCAATAACCTCACTAGCAATCTAAGTAACACCGCAGCAGAAGCCTCGACAGGCAACCCACCAGTAGCTAAAACCACGACTGCAACTTCAGCCGCTACAAAAAACGCTACGAATAAGAACAATATGCTAGCTTCAATAACTGCCGCCCATAGTGATAACGTTCACATCACCCAAGCTCAAGTATGTAGTGGCTAGGACATACTGAATGTTGATAAACGTGCATATAAAAGTCCAGTTGATTGCATATTGGAAACTACCTTGTTATCATTGGTTACCGGAAGCCTACCAAGTAAAAGCACAATGCTGCCGATGACCGATTTGAAGCTCTTTTCTGAGTTCTTGTTTGAAAATGTTAACACGGAAATCCCGTTCTAGCATGCTAGCTCTCACTTAATTTTATTGCGGCGTTGTGGGGGTCCATTCAACGGTAGTTTGCTCAACAATACCAGTGCCCATTAAAATCACGCCTTCCTCTGTCCTTGGCCGAGCCCCTTTTCTTACTTTCACAGTAGTTCGAAGCTTCTCTATTTTCATCGTGCTCGTTTCTATTTGTCAGTGTAGTTAGTATCAGGACGTATTCATTTTTGCGGTCGCATTCTCTCTTCTGTTATTGTATGATTGAAGTACATACGTTTATCACGTATACCTCTATGCGCTTCAGATAAATGTGAACTCGACATATTCGGCAAGTTGTGGCGGTTATAACTATTATGAGCTCGACTCGCTGAAGAAGGTAACAGTAGCGGATTTACGCAGTCCCCAGTCCTCGCCTGAAAAGGACGAACAGATGGATGAGCGACGGCTCCACCAAATATCATTGCCGCAAACCTATCCAGGTAACTAGGTCACAGGAAAAATGTTCGTAGCCTTTTTATTAGCGAGTTTCTGCGCTGCTTCCATATCACTGAAGTGGTATTTATATAACTAGAAATAATACTTGTGTAACTAAGTTCGACATTTTCGAAATACTTCTTGACGTGTAATAATTATTCCTACTAACCAGCTAATGACTACTTGTATTTGTTCGCGCTCAGACTACCCGGACCCCGAAGGCGAGGAGGGCTGTGGCGTGGAAGGCAGCGGCCTTAGTTCAGCAGCATCACGCGGCCGAAGTCATGGCTATGGAGCGATAGGTTATCAGGCTGGAGGGCCGTCCGCCTCAACTTGTTGCAGCCACAGCCCGTGTCCCGACGACATCGACGACGAGTCCCAGCAGTTGTTTGACGACGACGAAGACACGAACCGGAATACTTCCGCTAGGTAGTTGGTCCCACAGCCGCGAAAACGCTTTCTACTAGCGCATCCCCTCGCCGCCTCGCTTTCCATTTGAAAGGCGCTGCCACCATGCAAGCAATGCCAGAGCACAAAAGTATACTGCGTAGAATAAGATTCGTATTTCGCTTGTACGAGCTGTGTTAGGCAACGGAATATCTGCAGAGGTCAGAATTGAATTCGCATTATGGCCGTTGACGTCCTTTAATATTTTGATCAATGTTACCAAGGTTTTAATTGGCATGGTCGTCTGTAATAATATTTCTTTATTTAACTTAAGTTCAGTTGTTTCAACAAAAACAACTCTCAATACACGAATATCTGCAGAGTTTTTATCACATGACACATAGATGCAAATATTCAGTGTGCCAGCATGTGACAAGAGAGGTATTCAACTTATTGTTCATATAGAGAATTTTAAATTGTACCATTTATCAGCATATGATAATATGCAAAGGAACATCTTTTTCGAATAGCTATAAAAAAAAAAAAAAGCCACACAACTTTTGTAATTATATAAAATTTACAATAGGTGTATGATAAAATATTTCCAATAGTAGCTAGAGCGTCAATTCTCTATGGCGCCGACGTCATCAACACCGACAAGAACATTGTGTGTCTTTGTGAACGCTTTGACGCAAATGTTACAGAGACGAACAGGCGATCGTCGCGTCGTTCGCTGATCTGTCCGTCGGCGGCGAGGAGTCATGGACAGACCTATTTAACAGCGATGCTAGCTGCTGGTCTTCGACTAGGTGAGAATACAGTGTTACGTAAAATCACTAACTCGACAGATTTTACACGAAGTGGCTTATCACCCAAATTTGCGCATAAATTTTTATAAATATGCATTGCATTATCTATTTCGACCGCTTGAGTGTTCGTACATCGTGTTTTCATGCAGTTGCAAAGCGTTTTCTATCCCAAATCACTTTTGGACAGCTGGCGGTTGAACAATAATTGAACGCTCACAGACTAACTGTCCTTCAGTTCCAGCTCGACGGGAAACGGTCAAGCGATGACCCAGCTGCAGAGGAAGCCCCCCCTTGCAGAAGTCGACTGCAGCCTCGACGGGCCCACTTCGGATTAGAAAAGCCGAAATGGAACCGCTATTGGGTAACGCGTAACAGCAGCAAGAGCAACAGATTCCACCTCTGCTGCAAGCTCCATCAACAAGGCGTAAATAAAATGAGCACACATATTACACATTGGACAACATTTTCAGTTCAATCAGAAATCAGAGAAGCGACAGGACGCATGGCGAGACAATAAATAACAAGGGCATATGTAGAAAAACGTACCCCGTCGCAGCGGTTCAGTTCACTCATAGTCCTGGTGGAACCCGTCGAACAACTTCCAGCCAAATCACCAATCTCTAAAAGCACTCAACCTTCCGCCAAAATAACATCAACAACAGGATATTAATCCTAATGCATAGTACAGTACATATGAATATAAGCAATTATAATGGGCCAAGAGCTACTTATATAAGCTAATAATGCAAAAGACATAAAAAGGAAAGCGTGTTCATTCTTAAGCAGCGTGACGAATGTAAGCATGAAAAAAGGCTAGCTAAAAGTGAGCATATGATGCGTCAGTGGAGCGCATATATATATATATATATATATATATATAGAGAGAGCGAGAGAGAGAGAGAGAGAGAGAGAGAGAGAGAGAAATCACTGTAATCGAAATTCAGCCAGCCTTGAAGATCTACCTAAATGAAAATGATTCAATTGAACTAAATTGAATAGTTCAGTCATTATTTAAATCATCATTACACCAAACAGTAGCGCTTGTTAAATCATTATGAACTGATGATCGAGCTATCGATAGACTATTGAATTGGCGGTAAGTATCGTCAAGCACGAGGCAATCAGGTTTGTTCTCTTCGGTTAGATTGGATTGACAATGTTAACAAAGATCTCTTTAATGAGTGTATGAGGTTAGTCTCGGAAAAATAGATGATTTTGACTGCAGACTAGTCAAGAATATTTATTGTATAAGTATGGTTGACATAACCCATATATGCAGCGTGTTTGTCTTATACTGAAGTTTCAAGTCCCCCTTATGAGTTTGCAACGATATTATCCCTTGCTAAAATTAGGTCAACGGCACCATTATGGTTGAAGGGCATATATTGGGAATATATAATAGAAACAATCGATTAGATCTTGCCGAAATGTTCTACGAATGTAGATAAATTGATCTTTCGTATGCAACGAATGCGGCAATTAGTATAAATTATAAAATTAACGATTATCGAGGGTAAGCCAATGGCACGCTTGTTGCTTGTGTTTGATGTGTGTTTGGACGAATCATGATTAATATTTACAGGCACACAGCAGATATTCTGTGCTCGATGGTAATAACCTGATAATAATGCGATGAAAAAAATGGGTATAAGGAGAGAGACAGAGTAAAAAAGACGGAGTTTCACAAATGACCACTCCCTTGAATGGAGTTAAATAGAGGAACTAAACAATCAAGTATGCCAGTGGCACCAGTCGCCCCCATTTCTCTCTACATAGGCATCTCATCCACCTTCTATGCATGTTTCCGCCCCTTAAGTATATCTAACATCGATCCCCCGAAGAAATCGAAACACAGCAAATCTAGTGCCAGAAAAATGGTGCGTTGTGTGTTAAGCTTTAGCGATTTCCTTGGGCTGTTTCTTCCACTCACCCGCGCAAAACCCCAAGACAGAACCGGGACAACTGAGAGTGGTTAGAGGGTGCTACCTAGATACGCGGATTGAAAAAGGCGCTAATAGCCGTGGTTTAAAATAGGACACAAAAACAGCGAGACACAGGTACTAACATACACTTACAAAGATACACGAGATATAAATGCATAGTAATAATTAGAGATAGTAGTAATAATGATATTAAAGTGAGTGATACGACTAAATGCTACTAATCATACAGCACAATAGTCAAAAGATATATCACTAATAACATACTGACGATAGTGTACCCGTACAAGCTACCGACAGAGAGAGCGCATTTTGTCAGCCAAAAAGTACATACACACATATGAAAAGAAATAAGCAAAAAGTCACCAACTATTATAAGTATATTTGCCAACGAGGTACAGGCATGTGTACGCGGATAATACCGGTAATGAACACTATACAAATAAGTGAACAGCGAAGACTAGAATAGCGAGAACCGATAGTCCAGATATGCTATGATTACCATTACACGCGGTTGGGTGCGCGTCCAAGCAGCGCAAAAAGTGCCTAAACGCAGCAGAAAGTAAAGAGGCTTTGCTCGAAAACGAAACTTAAGCCTGCTACCGCTCTTACTGAATTTAGGAAACTTATTGTGTTAACATTATTTTAGGACGCATTTACGGTACTGAAACCCCAGCTTCTAGAAAGAAAAATGTCGCATGTTTATTACAGTATCCGTATTCCTAGATATTGTGCGTTATTGTATTGCTATTGATGAAATATTTTAAGTCCTAAAAACATCATTTGTATTATTGATAAACGCTAGCGACCTTTAGAGTAACAACAGAAGTAAAGCGAAGCGCATTAAGTAGGCGACCCTTGTCAGCCGGTTGGACAGGCCAAACGACCTTTACTGTTGTCTCTGTATGTCACCATACGGAACTGAAGGTCAGAGCACTAACGTGTAACGTACATAAACACACATACAGGCCGGGTCGTTTAAAGCCGCTTCAAGTGTCGTGCCGGCCGCCTTGGTACGCCAGTAGTTAAATGTCTTAACCAGCTAAACAGCAACCACCCCATCCGTTAGCTTGGACGATCGCACGTACATTTTTGTGGCAATTTTGCCCCTGTTTTGGTCCTACCAAATTATATATAGTTATTGCAAAATATAGTTCTTGCTTCTTTTTGTGCGCGGCTCTACTGTCCCGGTATCGATATACAATCTGTAGAGCTAAACGAGAATCGCGACAAAACGAAAGTGGGGGTCTATTTCTTGTACCCAGTTAATTTCTTCTTTATTAGAAAACGGACCCTGTGAGTAACACGGTGTACAACTGGTAAAAGTTAGCTGTACAAACGCGAGAGTTGATTGATCACACTATGCGGCCCTGATATTCTTAAAGGATTTGCGGAGATTAGGTAAAGTGAAAAAAATCAAATAACAGTGAGGAACATCTGGAGTAAGTTCTGGCTGTATTTACTTAAGTAAATACTTTTAAGTGAAGCAATAGAAAACTGGTTCGAGCAATTTCTCATTGATTTAGAATTCCAACAAAATATTTTGCATCTCTTAGAAGGGGTTATGTGTGTTTCATTGAAGAGCACAATAGATGGGAGGGAAGCGCCTTTTTGAAAAGTGCAAAGATAATAATCAATGATAATTCTATCTTGCGTTATTAATGCCCGCTGCCCGAAAGTGCTCGATTTAAAAAGCCAGTTGAAGACTGCCTCAACGTGCGCTCTGTGGAATTATTTACTGAATATGTGGCACATGGGTGCAGCTAGCGGCAATCCCAACTACTACGGGCGTATAAGCCAATCAACACCAATACGCGATTTTGTCGATTGAATAATGCCGTGACGGCAGAATCACAGAAGTTAAGATGCCCTCTGCGACAGAGGAAACGGGGCAGTCGTCGCACGCACCGACGTAACTGTACATGGCCGAACAGCATATAGGTTCATGTGAAACACCATTTTACCGATGCTTTGTGGGGCGCGTATGATATAAATAATGCTATCAGAGTCAGTGGCCCAAAAGCACGATGACGTGCATGATAGCATTGTTTCGTGTAATTTTGGTGCTGTAGAATGAGCAACAAATCGCGCACTTGTCAATGCGGGCTGCTCAGCCGACATGATCACTCGTAAGTTGTAACGACATTGCGCAAAGAGCGATAGGAAAGGACGGGATTAGCATTGGATTTTCGCACGATGAAAAAAGCATAAAAGAGCAGAAGTTGAACAGGAAGATGTTTAACAAAACCAGCAAAAGAAAATACTAACAGGGTTCTGCACTGGACGTCACCACATCCTGCATCTGGTCCTTGAGTTGACGAATCGTATTAGTAATCATTAAGAATAATGAAAACACTAACGCAGCATCTTGTGTAGAAAATGCACAGGTTACCATAACTAAATTACATATACATTCTGAGCATGGTGTACAGAGTAATAACAATAGTCGTTTATAAGAACAGTATCAACATTTATCCTAAGAAAAAAAACTCTTACTAGTAATAATGTTAAGGTATTATGAGCAACTAGAAAAGGAATGACTGAGTTAAAAAAAAAAGTCGTTAGACAGCACATGCTTGACCTTGGCAGTGGATAGGTAGAAATGATATGCTTGTTGATACATATGATATTTAAGAAGTCTACAGGACAAACGGTTGAAGAGACGAGAAGTCTGACTAGTTTCGCTTAGCGGTCACTGAAAGATTAAGTCCGCATTGAGGTATTGGAAAAGGGTCGCGAAGGCAGCAAAAGCAGCGGATGAGCATCACAGTATATAGTAGTAATAGTAATGAATAAATAATGGTAATACATAACTAGCGGTATATACAGATAGTTTATTCAGTGATTTGTAATCGGTCATTATCCGGCACTAATAGGGATAATAATAATAATTATATAACATGTTACAATATAATAAGAAGTATCACATAATTATAAATACAGTTTCTAGTAATAACAGTAAAAGCGTTCAGAAACGGGCGCAGTTAGCTGATTGACATGATTGTACACACAGATGCAAGCGAAGCCGTCTATCTTCAAAAGTTCAGTTATAGAAAATTATGTCAAACGGTGTAAAATTAGGTAGCGGTGCTGCAGGGCTTTTAGACATTATCTAATAGCTATTATTTTCATTGAATCTGTACGTGAAAAAGTAATATAATAAATATGGCGTATGGTGTCCATGGCGAGGATGGATCGTTCGTGTGCTAGAGCACAATGTAAAAGGCAGTTATTCTATTATATCTTGAGTAGAAAAGGTTAGAATTTTAGAAAAAAAAAATGGTTACCTAAATACATAGGAAGAACGAATGACTGAACGTGAGTTTCCCTTCAGTGCGTTTGTTTCCTGCCTTGGAGATGTGAATGTGAAAGTCGTATACGTGTATATACCAATCCGTTAAATTGCACGTCTGTCTAACATTATTCCTCAGCTAGATGGCACAACTAGACGACAAATAAAAATACGAATTTTTTTCGGTAAGGTCAAATATACATCTATATATAGAGAGAGACGACAAAAAGGCTCTAGAGGATTGAACTGTCCACGTATTTTTTACTTTCCGTGAGTAGTTAGAAGACAGTCTGAGGTTAAATTGGTTCCTTATGACTCCGCTTACAGAGGAGTGCCCTAATGCTTTGAAAACGGCAAAGAGTCCATAAAATAAAACAAAAAATTGAAGAAAATGTAATATAACGTTTTGCTCTGGTTGCGATTGATCTAAAAGTTTGAAACAGAAGATGAATGGATTTAGCTTTCACCAGACGTCTAATCTACATAAGTAAACACACCAGACCACATACAGACAACTCAAAATAACCACAATAGGAAATACTACCAGTGACCTTCTGGCGGTTGATAACTGCAATTGAAACACACATGTACATTTATGCCATGTACAAGCATTATGCGGTTATTAAATATAGTGGTATCGAAGAGCGACATTTGACCGAAGTACATGAGTACACAGTACTCGAATATGATATTCATCTTTCATTTTAATCCATCTAGAACAAAGATGCAACGTTAGAAAACACGGCTAAAGAAGTTAGAAATCTCTTATTATAAACACACACGAGAAATGCGGAAAAGCCCGAGAGAATAGTAGCATTTTTCTAGTACTTAAGTACTCGTATCGACTATTGGCCTATGTTCTACAGTAAAGTTGGCCCGTTCAGTCATCGACACGCGAAACAATTGCTGCTCATTGATATCGGACGGACGGACGGATCATCGTGCGTGTTATATCAATAGATACGAACATCGCAAAGTTGTTGTTGTTGTTGTTGTTGTTGTTGTTGTTGTTGTTGTTGTTGTTGTTGGGAGATAAGCAGTTCTGACATTTTCTCTGCATTATTTTATAAACCGAGTAAAAACACATCAAAAATATGATCTTGATAATAGTAGTATCGATAACATCAGTGACACAGCATAATCTCCCAAGCGGTTTTGTCGAAAGACAACATACCAACAACCCTCTACGCTACCACGACAGCAACGATAAAAACGACTGCTATTGGCTTTATTGAACGGTGCCCGCAATTGTGTTTATCTCACTAACAACAACAATGCTTTGTTTAGCGCAGTGAATTGGTACGCTGTTAACGTCCAACTAAGATCCGGAAATTATTGTTACTTCATTGTGAAGAGATATAATAACAATATCACTTCGTTGCAAATGCTAGGTATTGTACCTATTTATCTGGATGATGATGATAATATTAAATACCGTAGACTATTATTGCACATCGATAAAAAAAAACATAGATTATTGTTCGATGATAGGCTATCACTAACAGTAACAGAGCAGAAATAGATTTGAAGGCAAGGGGCGCGATAGGCTTGAAGTTGACTTTTCTACGATGAAATGACAACCAATAGTTAAAGAAGACGCAAAAAGAAAATACGAAAAGATAGAATCGTGTTGGTCTATGGTAGCCTGCTGCAGCTGTGCTGAAAACCATTTGTTGGCACACCAGATAATAGAGTTAAGTCAAACGACCAAAACATAGATATTGAGGAAGTAGAGGAAAACGTGCTTGAGCCACAGCTTCACGTAACAGAAGAGATAACAGGAAACGAACAGCTACTTCTTTGAGGTGGAGACCGATGCTTCAACTGATCGTCCCAAATAATAAATAAATCTTCGTTAAAGCTTCCCTTTGCCCCTTTTTACTCAAACTGGATGAGGCTATAATTAGCCCCATATAATAAAAATACCAATTATTCTCATGGTTACTATTACAGTTCGAAAAAGAGATGTTGCTGCAGGCGAAAATGGTTACAAGTGGCAAAGCAAAAATGACAGAGCGTCCGTGATAGGAAGACAGACAGACTGCGAATTATAGAGTATAATATGCTGTCGAGAATACTAGTAGAGAACGAGTGTAGGGCAACATCTCTGTTTAAGATTCGCTGCCGATGCCCCTTGGCAGTAATCATACTTGGCAATTGAAAACGAACACGGAGGAAGCATTGTACAATCGTTGTCCTATCGATACGATTCGTTCGAGCTATTGAAGAAAATTTAATAACAGTTAATAACTACAACAATATAGTTAGATTTCGAATCATCCCCTTTCTCGACTACAGGCCGCTTTCTGAACACTCGGATTAGATGTAGTGCAACTAAAACGATAACAAAAGCATTCGTATTATACATGTATGTAGTCTGTATGTTAAAGGACTTATAGTTAACCTTCGGAACACTTCTTGAGCAGATCATTCGTCATCCAACCTCAGTGAGAAAGATAGTCATAATAGAAATACTAGCACACAAAGGCTTTCACGGCGATGCACGAGGACGCCATAAACATTTGCACGTAGACACAAGTAGGCAGAAACGATAATCTGAATAATACTAGAAAAAAACTGAGCAGCGTATGATAATACCACTAGTCAATAGTTTCATACCGAGCCTTGTCGTCAATGCAGGAACAACGCCAATGTGTTATGAATGTAATAACCGAAATCACCATATACAAATAAATATAATATATATATATATATAGTTACTTGTTCGATTGTTCCAGTTCAGCCAATGAAATCGTGACGATCTTCATACGTATATAAAAAAAAAAAAACATATATTATAACTGCCCTTCAAATGAGCAATTATCGATGATTTTTGTTTATCTCGCTGCATAAATCCCTAATTGCCATTGACTGCAACGAGTGTGACTGGGACTGAAGGATGAACGAAGATGAATAGTTGTAATAATAATGGTGATAATAATGATAATGAACAATGATGCCATCTTTAATACAGTTCACTCATGAACGGTTACTATTACTTGGACCGTAATCATTGCGTAATAGGTCACAGACTGGGAGAGGCAAGAAAAACCGAGAAGAAAATGAATAAAAAACAGAAATACTGAATGCGTGACGCACGTTATTCGGTGAGGACAACTAATGTTAGTGCTAGTTCTCAACTCCAGTGTTTGGCGAGTAGAAATGAATGGTCCATCTAAGAGAACACGCAAATCAAAGCTGCCTGCTCACGACTGAAAGCGCCGCTGGAAATAAAGTGGAAGTATCATCAGTGAATATATACGGGACGTATAGCCAAGCGGTTATAAGTTGAGAAGACTTTTTTTTGGTTCAGCTTACCTCCGCTCAAAATACACCCAAATAAACACTTACACTTAGGAAGTTGTCTTACGTCCATCACACGTTACAGATCAACAACGGATGGACGAAACGAAGAACATACATCAGATATCATCCATGCATCGTTTCTCCATATTATATAGATACGTCCAGATACGGGTGCGATGTGTAAATTTTAATCTGCTAATTAAGTAAGAGAACTACCGTTGACCGATTGATTTCGACTACGCCGCTTACAAGAGATAATCACAAAGAACTAACAGACGATTTATGCGGACATAATAATCGTAATATATTTAAGAAAAAAAAAATGGCCAGAAAGCAGCACAGCCTGCACCTCTTTATGCAAGTACCCACGTTGTAGCCCATAAGAATTCCAATCAGGTTCACTTTCTCCTAATAATAACAACAATAACAACGATAATAGTACTGTAATAACCCTTTTATTATTTAATCCTTCGCAATTCGCGTTAGCGTCTTGCAAAATTTTGGATCTCCATAATTTTCGACAAGGTTGTATGAGCGTTAATCGATCAGACGTCGATTTCGAAGAAAATTATGTAAAGAATCTTTTTGGGTGTTTTTTAGCCATGGTATAAAGACGCATAGCAGACGTACAGAGAGAATATGGGCTAAATGTCACATAGTGATGAACTCTAACACATACAAACTGCTATAGCGTCATAAATCACAACCGTTCAATTCGACAAGTGTGGAGGTGTCAGGATTTTACCAACAAGATGGCATGAACGTAAACAGTGTAAAGCTGGACGGAGCTAAACCGATCAGCTGTTTCGAATAAATAAGGGGCGGCGAACAAAATACTTTTGTAACGCGGTTCCAGTTATAACGAAGGTATTATGTAGAATAAATATAGAAAATAACTACAATGAATACTGAGTTAATAATAAATCCTATATATATATATATATACACACCTATACTGCGATAACGAATGAGTGTTTTTTGACCTGCTAGAGATAAGTGCTACACTACGATAATTACGCACTGAGTAGAACCCTCTTCATGAAAATAGTTCTTACCTCATACATTGTGCAACTAGGCTAGTGATCCTTAAATCATAACACAGAGACAGGCTCCATTCGGGGCCCTTGTATCATTTATCCTTAAAGAGGACGTATCTGTTATCTATTCCCTAAAATATAGCATTGACAATACTCCAAGTGTGACAACATGAGGTTTATTAATTAGTTTTTCAAAAGTTACGTAATATAGCATTTGACCATATTTATTTCGGCCAGCTATGTCACGACGACCGTGCGTTATCAAAAAGAGATCGTCCTTTAAGTGACCTTTTTCTACGCTAGCATTTTATATACCTGTATAGCATTTTACCTTATATAACGATAAAACGCTAGATAGGTACACGAGTGGAAAGAAGAGAGAGGTTAGTTCGACTTTAGGCTCGCCGCCTCACCCTTGCTCACTCGCAAAAGTAGCAGCCGCTGCCTTTGCTTTATCCTGTGTCTTGCATAAGATTCGAGCTCCGCGCCGTGAAAGACCCATTACTCCAGAGACAACGTAGGACAGCAAGATGGAAATGAAAACAAACTTG